TTATTATTATTATTATTATTATTATTCACAATAACCCCTTCTTTCCACCGGAGCCGTCAGCAGCACGTTACTGCAGCAGCACGTCTTGCTCGCGTAAGCTGCTGCTTGGCCCTTTCCACGAGACGCGAAGCAGCAGGGAGCAGCTGTCACCGACCGAGCACGAAGTCACACGAGTGACCTCGTCAGTAAACACAACAACAAGCAGGAGAAAACTACAACATGGCTCCAAAAGGTTTGTGTTTTATGTTCTGTCCGTTTTATAATCGCCAACACGGACCTGAAAAACAAAGGAGACCGCTAGCTAGGTGATAACTTCTCACAGGGCCGCACAGTTAGTAACTTCTTTTTTAAAGTAAAGCAACCGGAAGGCAGTACGTTCTTTATTCTGAAAATCTCGGGAAGCTTCGCTCCGTTTCCACGTCCGATTTCCTGTCTTTCCTTCCCCAAAAATGTCGAACTTGACCCGTTTCAGTGGCGTCGCTCGTAGAAAATAGAACCGGCGCGTAAAGGCCGCGACATGCTGCTCCTGAGACGCGGCCGACTCGCGCTGCTGACGGCTCCGGTGGAAAGAAGGGGTTAGGGTAGAGGTAGAATCTCTGGAATTATTTTCCTTTATGCAAAAATGGAAGTCAGCCCATTTTGAAAACACCCAATCACCAAGGAGATGAGACAACCTGCACTTACTCTCTCTGACACACACACTCACTCACTCACTCACACACACATGCTGCTGTGTATCCGCTCAGCAGACATTCCAGGACATTTGCATGATATTAAGTTTCAAGGAGCATGTGAGTGAGATCATACGTTGATTCTGGATACCTGAAAGCTCCTCCTTGTCCTTCTCTTTTCTTCATTTCATCTGCTCTTACTTTTATTCCCTGGAAGATGAAGTCTAACACAGTTAAAACAGATTTCTACACACTGCAGCAAGTTATAGATGGTTATTATAAAAAATGCTGCTACCCGTCCAGTTACTCACATTCACACTAAATCTCGTGTTGTTCTCTCCATTTTCCCAGAACTCATTCTCATTCCTGTTATTCATGCTTTTGCAGCAGCTTAAAGCTGGAATATGGTGCAGTGTTACAACACACAAGTAGAGAGAAGCATGTAGGTGGACACACACCACCTCGTTGAGATTCCAGCTGTTTAACTGGTTCAATCCAGATGGTTTGCACAATTTCCTACTTCTATGATACATTTCTGTCCTGCAGCAGTTTTGCATTTGGGCCATCAAAACACACACACAAACACACGCACGCACACACACACACACACACAAACACACACACGCACGCACACACACACACACAACACTATGAAATTAAGTGATGTAGTCAGAGGAAGAAGCTGATCAGCAAGGACTGGCTTCAGACTCACAATCCAAAACTGACTACACACATGCACACGAAAGGAGGAACCGAAAGGGGTGGGGCCTAAAAGGGAGCTATTCTCAATTGGAAGAAATGAGTTGTGTAATGAAGATGTTAATTACATTTAATTAAGGAGGACCATAAGACATTAAATTTCATATCGAGTATGAAATCCATCTTACGGACCCTGGGTTGTTTAAATCAGAAGATTGGATCTTTTTATTGCAGGGATTTTAAAATAACACTTTGTATTAATTGAGAGACAAGAGAAGAGAGAGAGACTTTCAAGTGTTTAAGGAAATTTATTACTAGATAATTTTAAACAATTTAACAAGACAAACTCTCTAATGATGGATGCTCTGTTTGAATGAAATGTGAGGTGGTTGGTGTGCGTGAATAATGCCAACTTCAATACCTTCGTATCCGGAGAAACAAAGTCTGAGTGGGAGATGATGTTTTGCTCCTAACTGATCAGAGTTTGAGACTCGTAGTCATAAACACATGAGACGCCATTTATGTCGCATCCACATACCCTCAGTGAGACCTCCGTACAGATCCGGATGCCAGGTCCACGACCCTCCTCTGTTACTGGAGCCGATGAAACAGCGTTGACAGTACGACAAACTAGTCTTTGGATAGTCTCCAGGTAAAAAGCGACAGGTGTTTCACAGCGTCAAAAAGGGGACCCTCCTTGGGTCAGCGAGTTCAGCTTTTATTCTGAAAGGTACCGTTGCTTGGTGGGTAACAACGGAATTTTCCCAGCTTGAACGGTTCTCAGCTTAAAAGGAGAAGTATAGCCGGTCCATACTTCACTTAACATGCGGTGAACTTCATGGGATCTTGAGAACGAGATCTTGAGAACTGAACTTAAGATGGCGTTGGAACTGTTTTATTAATCAGGATGTTTTTGATTCTGGACGAATCAAAGCTGACAGATTTATAAACACCACAGAGACTCTGCCACGCTTCAGACTAGGAAGGTTCTGATTGGATCAGTACAGCAATGTGTCATGTGATTATTTACCTTAGTGTATCAGTGTGTCTAGTGAACTAGAAGAAGTCATATTACTTATTAAAACATATTAATCATAATATTGTGATTTCACAGTTCGGTCACATTGTATTATTGACTAACAGTTGTTTTGATTAGCTTTATTGAAAATAGAGTTCTTTGATTTAATAAAAGAAAAGAAAAGAGTCTCTTCATCTTCTGTCTTCATTGCTGGGAAGTAAACAGTTTAGAAGCGAATGCATGACCTTGAGGCTGTTTCATGCACTCTTGGCGCTGTCAAAGGGAACTGTGGAAAAGGTTAAATATCCTTTGAGGAATAGCTCCTTCATCACGTTACAGTTACATCTGTGGAAAGGAAAAGAAATCTGAGTCGTGCATTTCTGTCATGTCAGAGGAGAAGCAGGAACTGAATCGTGTGTCAGGGCGCTGCAGAATAACAATCCATTTATTAGTTCAGTCGTGGATCTGAGACAAAAATCTACCAACCAATCTGCCTGTTATGTTTGACCATTTATTTGCTAATCATTAGCAGGAGTGCACAAAAGTGAGCACCGGGTGTTGACGTCAAGTTTGCCCCAACTAGATGTTTGAGTTTTTGCGATGGCTGTAGTTCCCCTGTGGTGTGTGTGTGTGTGTGTGTGTGTGTGTGTGTGTGTGTGTGTGTGTGTGTGTGTGTGTGTGTGTGTGTGTGTGTGTGTGTGTGTGTGTGTGTGTGTGTGTGTGTGTGTGTGTGTGTGTGTGTGTGTGTTTTATGCTGTTTGGCCAGTGAACAGCAGTAGGGAGAGCACATATGACTGGTGGACCCGATGGGAAAACCAACACAACTCCGGTATGCAAAGGAAAAATGTGACAGCTCTATATTATTGTTATTTTTTTTCACAATCAGAGGATCTTAATACTGACAGTAAATACCTCCTTATTGCATTGGATAAACAACTGCAAGCAATATTTTTTGTTTTTTGGAGCATTACTGATTATGACCAAAACTGCATATGTAGGATGAAGTGATGTAATCAGTATTATTTATGGCTGCAGTCGACCAGCACTGTTGTTGCAGTTGGGCTTTTAGTTTTACAAAAAGGTTGAGTGTAAACATATTTCTCTAAGAAGTCGTTTAAATGAGTCTTTGACTCGCTCTTAGTCTGAATCCTCACCTGAGGCTAATTTGCCGTGGTAGACCACACCTAGAGCTAACACACTGACGAGATAACCTTCAGGAGCACGGAGGGGCGCAAACCCGCCCACCATGTTAAAGGGATACTTTGCAACTTCTTCATATTTTTAATCCTTTTCTTCAGCAAGTATGTGCTAAACTGACCATTTACAGGGTTAAAGGTGCAATATGTGGAAATTAAGTCAAATTACATCCTGTGGTAAAATTTGGTTACTGCAACCACTTTAAACAACTCTGGAGCTTTTTGCCAGCATCATCAATTTACAATTGTCGGCAGTATTAACTCTCAGGAGACACGGCACCCCCACACTCACTGATGGTAAACAGTCGTTACGTCCCTCCTTCCTTGGTTTTGAAAGGAGAAAACCTGACAATCCCTGCAGCCAGCTGGATATGAAACATGTTTCAGTGTAATCGTCCCTCCAAAATGACTGAAACATTAGACTCTTTTGGGATTTTCCTCACTGGAAAATTCTCATTATATTCATACATACTGCACCTTTAATGAAAGGCCACTCAGCCCCTTTCACTCCCAGTGGCCAGAATATCACATTTGCAACTTCAGATTGGCGGCCCGCTGTGTTGGTACTTAGAAAAAAAATTTAGCTGACAAATTTGGCCCTGCAGTCTGCTTCCAGCGTGTTTCCTGCATGTTTTAGATCATGAACACAGCTGATTTCTTTAATTTAGTGATGAATGACTCCTGTAGACACTAATGAAGGCTGGGGAGACACTAAAGCTTGGTTTATGCTTGACACATTTACTTTCCGCTTGGTGTTGCGGCTCGCAGATGGAACGTGCTTCACAACTTGCAGCGTTTATGGTTCATGCAGCTTGTCTCTGCGGTGAGTCAATATTCTCCCAAACTGTAGGGGGCAGCATGGAGCTCTACAGCATGCATCCAACATTACACCATAGTAGAAGTAGAAATTACTGTTGTTTACAACATGGCATTCCAGCATTTTTACAGCGTCCTCGTCTTTTCCGACAGTGCGAGCTATTTCTCTCCAAGAATTATTAACAACATGTTGATCACGGTGATCTCTGAGAGCTGAATCATACAAATGTCTGTATTTACGAACCTCTGCCATAACTAGTTCTTGCCAGTCCGCCATGTTTTTCCGTGTCTGACCGTCCGCGTGGTTAGAAAATTTCCTAGGTGCGCGGTGCGGAAAGTTTGGGCCGTGCAGAGGCGCGGTGGAGGGGCGTGGTTGTTAAAATGACGCAATTTTGCCGCGCGGAGCCGTGCGGATTGAAATAGTTCAGTTGCTGAGCTGAAGAAAAACACGGCATGGAGATGAGTTGTTGATACCACTCGACTCGACTCGAACTTTATTTATATACAGGTGTCAGGGCCGTTGCTAGCTATTTTGGTGCCCTAAGCACAAAGTCTTTGTGGTGCCCCCCCCCCCCCCCCCCACACACACACACACACAGAAAAACAACACAATCACTGGCATGTGACATGACTAAATTCAAAACTATTTAACCTTTATTAAGAACTAGAGAGGCACAATATACACAACTAGAAAATTCTGAATATGAAGGGAGGAGGTTAGCATAATGGACTTTTTTCTTCAAATTATACCATCAGCAGCTGATGTTCCTCTTGGCCCATAAATGTTTATGGAATATATATCAACATTGAGCAAATTTGAAAATAGGTTTGTCAAATTTTTCATATTAAATCTCAGTTACATAGCCTATAGGCCACATGGGCTATTTAATAATGATATAAATCATGTCCATAGTTAACTCATGATTAATCACAAACAGCCGCTTATTTAAAAATAAAACTTCTTGCTTTACCTTGACGGTGTTTTTGTCCTTCCTGTTTTTGTGATATTCATCAAGTATTTGGGTGGACAAATATGATTCATTTGTTTATTTCTGTTTCAAAACTGCACAGATGGGACTATCTGACCTCACAGAGGAAACTTTATTTTACTTGAGAAAGATGTTTTAAGATGAACTTATTAAAAAAAATCTTCAAACTCTTCAAGGTTTATTTTTAGATGAACAACCTTTAACACTGTTCAGACTTATTTTTTGATACAAGTCACATGAACAGGCTGAATACAAGGATTTTCCCTTTGTTGCATTTACAGGGTGTCCGCGGGGTTTTAAAAAGTATTAAAAAGTGATAAATAAAAATAGTCAAATTTAAGGCCATTAAAAGTGTTAAATTTGGTCTCAGAGGTATTATTTTTTCCAAATTAGGTATTATTTTTTTCAGACTATCAGATGTCGTATTCTGAACATCGACATAGAAATATATTCCGAATGAAATGTTTTGAACGATTATAAAAACAAAACAAGCCGATTATTTGCTCCTCCCACTTGCGCTGCCTTGAGTTGCAAATGAAGCGCTCCTCCCAGTGTTGCCAAGTTAACTTAGCGACTTTGTCGCTATTTCTAACAGCTTCTCAGACCCGCTTCTTGACTTTTTAAATCTTAAAAGTACCTAGCGAACACCTCAGAAACATCTCTGGTAACCCTTAGCTACTTTCTGGATAACTGTCGTCGACATTTCCTGCAGGTTAGCTAAACACTCCGTCTGCGCTCCGGACCGTTCTTCAGGACATTAGGAAAGGGAATGATGTAGTGATGTGTCGGTCGCTAAAGACAGCTCTCGGAGCCGGCTCCCTGTTGGAGTAACCAGAGTGAGTGACACACACCGTACCTGCGGGCTCCTGAGCCGCTAAAAACGGCTAAATGTGCGCGTGCGGCGCGCTAAACACACGTGCAGCGTGCCCGTGATTGCTGTGAGACCGGGTTGGGGGGTGCAGCTGTGGTTGGGGCAATTATTACATTAACTGATGAACTTGTAAATAAATAGTTTATAAATAAGGTAGAAATAAGTTCCTCACGCTGATAAATAACTAATCTCTCTGAGGACATGGTGCTAGTGCACGCTCCTACAGCACCTTGACATGACTCAATAAATGCTATGCAACATTTAATGAACAGCAATTTGCATGCATTTGTTATAAATGCCACTGTATAATTCTTGCTGTCAGTATTTGCAAGATATTGGTATTTGGGTCTGTACTGGTTAGACTTAAATGAGTTAAACCAAGGTCTACAGCCCTTGGGTCATAGACTATGAGCTATAAGTATATTGGTCTTTTTATACTGGGAATCAGGAGTTATTTTAGTGATCATCTTGTTTCTTGTTTATTTTTGCCCTGATTGTGCCCTGAGCAGTTTTATGACTGAATAAAAATAAAAATCTACATAAATTGAAAAATCGTCTTACATAATCGAGATCTCAATTTCAGTCACAATAATCGTGATTATTGTTTTTGCCATAATCGAGCAGCCCTACTTTAGCATATCCAGTCACATAATGATGACGTCATATTCAGTGGTCATTGTGCATCATTTCAGGCCCCGTGGTCAACCGTCTGAACCGCTGAACAGAAGTGCCTGGCTTATTTTCTAAGTAAAATAAATATGTGCAATACGTTGTCAACATCAGTGAGTCTCTAAGTCTATTCTTTTTGTATGTTATATATGTTAAAATATTTGTAAATAGGTCGCTGATTAACACTTGCAATTTAGTGTTGTGATGGTTTTAAAAAAATTCTGAAGGTAGTAAAAAAAAGTATTAAAAAGTAGTAAATTTTACTTAAGGATTGCTGTATATACCCTGATTTAACTGTTTCTTCTTTAAAGAAGTGCTGATTCAGAAGAGAATAACTGCATTTAGGAAGATGATGACTTGCTACGTTTTTCTCCAGCAGTAAAAAAGCTCTAAAGCTTCTCTGAGTTTTTTTCCCTCTCAGCCTCTCTCACTCAGCTACTGATGAACGCCCGGTAGGCAGGGCCAGATTAACACTTTGTTGTACCCTGGGCAACAATATTCAAGGGCCCCATCATCACGACCCAAGGATCACCATAATATGGTCACATACAGAATATTTTACTGTAATATGCAGTAAATATACTCAATACTTGAATACCTGACATCACGTAACCCTCTCGGGGTAACATTTGACCCACCTCGTGTGGACTGACCAATGAGGAGAGAGTCTTAACTTGAGGCCCTCTCTTCATTGGTCAGTCTGTATGAGACTGACTCTCAACTGACGTTCAGTCATAGGCAGCAAAGCGTCTCTGTGCAGCGCAAAAGCCCGGGTGGACAGTTTGTTTAATGTAGGGTGATCATATTTCCAATCCCAAACAAGAGGACAGGGGATCTGTGCCTATGACGTCACTCTATGGCAACGCCACACAAACCATGTTGGGACCCATTTTTTTGTAATTAATATCAGATTCTACCAATAAAAGGGCTCTAAAACAATTCATATGTAAATATTTTGCATATTTATTGCAAAATCTCATTTTTCTGCTTTAGTGCTGCAACAAGGTTTTATTAATAATAAATTATAACTTTTGTTTTACTACAGCATTGGTAAGCTTCCTGTGCACAGATTATTAAAGATACTTGTTTCAGCTGTGAGATTAGACGATAGGATCAATGAAAAAATAAGTTGTCACACACTCCATGGAAACTTTCAGAGAATCCACAAATAGTGGCTTTCGGATGGTTTTGTTACTTTTAGCAGGTTTAGAAAAGCAGCAGATGAGACAGCATGTCTGATAATTTAGTTTTTCATCTGAAAATATTAGAACATGTCAGTAATGTCTGAGGGGCTTTTATAAACACTGTATATCTAACAATACTGGAGAGGAATTACACAGAGGCTTCTGGGGAGCCCAGTTATGGGGTGGTGGTGGGGTATGTGTGTGTGTGTGTGTGGGGGGGGGGGGGGGGGGGGGGGGTCATTTTGCCTTGGCCCCCAAAATGTCTTGAAACGGCCCTGGGTATGTGACTGAGTTTTGAAGGTGATCTGAGCTGTATCAGATGTATAAATATTACATGTGTGTAACTTGTTGTTTTATACAGGTAAAAACGTGTAGTGGAGATAAGTCTACCTACATTTTACTTTTCAACACTTTGTTTTGTTTTTATTTAACTATTTTCCTGTCCTGTCTGTCTCTCATCTTCCTGCATCTCCTCTAAACTCTCCAGAAAAACTGCTGCCTGGATTCTTACTTTTTCACCTCATCAGTTACTTTTGAGCAGATCAAAGGGATCTCCTGACCGGCCGCAAAGCGGAGAGCGCGATTCGATGCTGCGTCAGTGAGGTGAAATCACCGCAGCACAGGTGATGAGCTCCACAGCAGAGCGCTTCAGGCACAGATAAGACAGAAAGTAGAGAACATGTGCGGACATGAACGATCGTGTGTTAATTATAGTTTTTTGGTTGCGCCACTTTGAGAATGGACCGTGCGCTGGAAGCAGCCGCCTGGAGCGCTGCGACCGCGGTCAAGTAGCGCTGCGCAACAATGCGCTGTGCCGCTCTCTGCTCAGAAGAGTCCATAAATGAAGTAATATAGGTAGAAAACTTTTTTCCGGCTCCCCTGGATGTGGGATATACAGCTCCCCCATAATTCGATCCCTGCTCCTGGATGAAAAGCTGGATATTTTCATCAAAACAATAACCCCCAGTCCGGACGTCCCGGTACCGGACAGAGTGAAAAGTGGACACGGTCCATCTCTACTTTTTGTATTTTTTTCTCTCTGTAAACATGCTGTTAACTTGCTTTGCACATCTTCTAATTGAAATCTGTCTTCATCATATATATTTTATTTTTTCATAAGTTTGCGTTTGGTGCCCCTCCCCCGGCGTGGTGCCCTACGCACTATGCGTGGTGTGCGTGTGCGGAGCGCCGGCGCTGACAGGTGTGCACATAAGTGGTCCGCAGGTGCGCATGCGCTGTTAAAATAAACAATGCGCACCTGAAAAAAAGCTGCAACACGCATTTGCGCACCTAAGATTTTGTGGTGAAAGGACACAATTCTGGAGCATTAGTAATTATTTCGGTGTTTTTCCGCCCCCCAAAAAACGTCAGACTGACTGAGTCTGAACCGCAAAAGAAGAGTATTCGTGGAGAAGTGGCTGCAGGAGGTCGGCTGGCTTCAAACAAACGATGAATGCACAGAGATGTGGAGCAGATTATGCAGTGAAAATCCCCCCCCCCCCCCCCCCCCCCCCCGGCAGACAAAAACTGCGCCTTTTACATAGGCACTAAAAGCTTCAGTCATCCAGCGTTTGATTAACACACTAACAGCCAAGAACATCAGAAAGTTGTTCGGGAAGTTAATAATGAAGCCTTTGACCCAAATCCATCGGTTGACTTGTGGACGAAAACAGCTAATCGCAGGCTGAACCGGGAGAAAAGGAGTAAGCCTGAACCATCCACATCCTCTGCTGAGTGTGAACTGGAGGAAGCCAGTGAGGAGGATGATGATGAGGATGATGAGAGTCTGTAGAAATAAAAATGGCATTTATGCCATTTAAAAAACTTCAGTGCTCTGAAATAGTAATTTTGTTAAGTGGGAAAAAAAGTGCTTTAAATTTTATTTTATTTGATTTTTGTTATCACAAAAGCAGCTGTTTACACGTTGTGTTTTACATTCAGACAATTCAGTCATGTTATTTGAAAATTAGAAGGTTTAAGTGAAGCTGGCAACATGTACCTGTTGTACTTATTGTTGTCATTCAAAATAAAAATATGTTGCATCGTCGGCGTGTTACTTTGTTTTGTTCCTATTGTGAGTTGGGTTAAGAGTCAAGTGCATTAAAAATGTGAGGACCAAGCATCAACCATAGGTTCTCCCCTGAGTACCAACCCAAAAATATCATGTTCACCCTGTTTATATAGCACTTTACAGACAAAAGCAAGCCACCAAAGTGCTTCACAGAAATAGATGAAGTAGAACACATAAAGGAAATAAAACTGTAAAATGAGAGAAAAATAGCAACACTGTGAATCACCCCACAGAGTTAAAAGCCAGTTCGTGAAAAAGGGTCTTCAGCTTAGATTTACAAACTGCTACAGAAGGACTGCCGAAGATGTAATGGGAGCCCATTCCAGAGTTTTGGAGATAACGCAATTTCCATGATCTGGATTAAGGTTTTAGAAAGATGAACGCACAGCAATGAGATAGGTTTTGGTTTTGGTTCTACAAATGAACACTAGGGGGCGCACAAAGCAAGCCAAACTACCTAGTTCCCCTTTAAGGTGGTGATACAGCGGATGTGTGTTCTATTTATGTATTTTTTTGCATTTGATATATTAACATTTTTATTCATAATTTATTTTATTATTATTTAGCTTGTAGCTGAAGTGCTTTTATTTATTAATCATTTTTGTGATATATATGTTCATATAAGGGTTCTGTGTATTTTGTCTTGGTTCTGGGTCGTAGGTGTACACCTCACACGGACCCACGGTTGTCATGCCAACATGGTTCTGCTCCAGGAGATTGTTCCTGACGGTCAGACCATTCGATGAAGGAGGCAAGGTAAGACTTCACTTTCAAACCCTTTCTTCATCTTCCTCATTGACGTGTCAGTGCACCTGATTGAACTTTGTTCAATACATGAGTTTGGCGTCCATCGCCGTACTTATTGTAGGCTCTCCACAAGAATGTGTCCTGAGTACTTATTTTTTATTGTTTCTGACCTGCAGTAGAAATAAAACTAATGAATTATTCTGAATTAGTGGGAATATGTTTGCTGATTTTGAAAACAAGTTGGTTGTTTAAGAAGTTACTGATAAAAGACTCATGTTGCTGAGCTGTAGTAAACATTGATGTTTTAACTACAGTAAAAGCTACTGAAGCCATCATCGAAGTCGCCGTTCTCATCAACCACTGTCTTGCTTTTATTGGTTTTCTATCAGTTTATGAAGCAAACTCATCAAAAATCTATTGTCCTCAACAGAGTCGTACATTTCTAACTTGTATTTTCCTCAGCAGTCAAGGCTTTATATAACTGCAAGGGCTGCATGGTGGCGCAGTTGTTCAATTCAATTCAATTTTATTTATAAAGCGCCAAATCACGACAAGAGTCGTCTCAAGGCACTTCACGTAATAAACATTCCAATTCAGGTCAGTTCATTAAGCTAATCAGAAATAATGTTTCCTATATAAGGAACCCAGCAAATTGCATCAAGTCACTGACTAGTGTCAGTGACTATACAGCAATCCTCATACTGAGCAAGCATATAGCGACAGTGGAGAGGAAAACTCCCTTTTAACAGGAAGAAACCTCCAGAGGATCCTGGCTCAGTATAAGCAGCCATCCTCCACGACTCACGGGATGGAGAAGACAGAGCAGGCACTCACACACACACACACACACACTGTTAGCACTGTTGCCTCGCAGCACGAAGTTTGCAGGTTCGAAACTCGGCTGCGGCCGTTCTGCATGGAGTTGCGTGCTCTCCCCATGCATGCGTGGGTTTCCTCCGAGTTCTCTGGTTTCCCCCACAGATCACAACATGCCCTATAGGTTATAAATTGTAAGTCGCTTTAGATAAAAGTGTCTTCCAAATAAATAAACATAAACTTCTTGCAGAAGTGAACCAGAACATTTTCAGACTTCCCGTCACTGTCTCTCTTTTTTTTTTCTTTTTTTTTTTGTCGACTCCAGGGAGTCCCGGAGGATCTCCTCTTCTTCTACCAACTCCTCCGTCAAGGATGTGGTCTGTTCAGGGTCGACCGGTGCCTGCTGGTGTATCGTTACCATGAGAAAGCCACCACTCATTCTGTAACAGAGTCAGTTTCTCCACACACACACACACACACACACACACACATATTTGGGCGCAGCGTTGATCCTCCACCTACACACAGCTGCCCATCGGCATCCCGGACTTTCTCAGGGCTCTCGCACGCAAACATCCGCATGCACACAGTAATCTTGAGATTTTCAGACTGTTTTTGGAATTCTAGTCATTTTCCCAGCACTAAAATCAGGAATTTCAGCCTTCTCTTTTCTGGAATGTTGAGTATCAGTTGGATGCTGGTCGGAGAGAATCGGATCTTGGTGTGAACAGAAGTGCTTGACGTGTTTTGTGTCGAGCTGACATTCCTCCTGTTGTGTGTGATTCACCATTCCAGGTGTGTGTGTGAGTGTGTGTGTGTGTGTGTGTGAGTGTGTGTGTGTGTGTGTGTGTGTGTGTGTGTCTTTCAGTGTAAAACAGACGAAAGAGAAACATCTTTCCTTCTCCACCTTCTCGCCCATCTTTCCTTTGTATCCTTCCTTCCTCCCATGCCACCTCTGCCCGTAGGACAGCGTTGACGCAGTCCTTCATTCATTTAGCAGTTTGTGTTTTTATCTTTCATCCATCTATTTTTGGGCGCCCTATTTCAGGCATGTCTTCTTCCTCCCCTGCGTTCTTGATACCCCTCCCACCACCACCACCTACTACCTCCTCACTTTAGTCCTTATTTCTGACGTTCACACACAAACAAAACTACAGATGACCTCTTGTTAGGTGAGAAGTTTTTTTAAACGACGTTGGTAAACAGTAACTAACTTTCTCGCTGAAAAGCTGTGTTTATTAATCCGAGCGGAAGGCATGTGTGCTGTAAATCTTTGCCATCTTGCTGCTGTCATGTTTAGGAGTCAGAGAATCCACAGCAAAGAAATCATCTGGAGACCACCCAGGCTCTCATCTTGTGCAGGATTTGGGTTTTGTTTGCAACACAAGGGCCACTTAGCGAAACATGCAGGGACTTTTTCTAAAAAGAGAGCAGAGAACTTCCTACCAATGTGTACAAATACAGAAACGAATCGACATCGGTGCCAGAATGAGTGGAGGAGCACAGAGCAGTAGCTTTTTAGCTCTAAAAGTTTCACAAGCAATAGGTGCAACTGTTGAAATGAAGTATGATGAATATATAGATGACGCCTCACAATTTATCCTGTTTTAAAGGTTTTAAAAGACCTTAAAGTAGCACAGAGCTGCTGTAGAACTACTGTAAACAACCCTGCCGCAGCCTGCTGTAGCTAGCGCTACCAACAAGCTAGCACTAACATGAGCCATGCCACAAATCAAAAAGATCTAAACAAATATTATTACATACAAGCCCAGCAGCAACAGAGCCAGGTCACCATCAGTCCTTGATTTTGGAGCCTCTTTTAGCTCCCTCAAACTAGTGTAGGTCGCATCGATGTACACTCTGGTTTTACTCTCTTACTTGTACTTCCAGGCTCCAACCACGATGCCAACAGAAAAGCAAACTTCTTCTTTTTCTGTTTTTTATTGATAATCAGCAAACTGAAAAAGCTAACTGCACAGAACATTGCTGGCAGCCGTAATGCAGGTATAAGAGCACCCCCTAGAACACCTTCCTGCTCCACAGAGCTGTTAAGTGCAGTATTTGGCCAGCAAAAGGCTGCAGAATGGTGTCAGATATGAAACTGTTTGAATTTTTAACCCAACAATCTCTTAAATCAACATGAAGCTCTAGTTTAAAGGGATACGTCGCAACTTTATATATATTTAAACCATTTTCTTAATCCAGTATATGCTAAAACGACCCGTTGCTGGGTTTATGAAATGTCACCCAGCCCCTTTCACCCTCTGTGGCCAGAATATTCCATTTTCAACTTCAGAGTTGCCGGTCCGCTTCGTTGGGAGACGTGCTGCAGTTTGCTTCCAGCACGTTTCGTGCATGTTTTAGATCATGAACACAGCAGATGTGTTTAATTAAGCGATCACTCACTCCTGTAGACTGTAATGAAAGTGTAATGGTTTAATTTACATGTTATTTAATGTGCCATAAGACATAAGATTCACTAGTAAATATGAAATCAACCTTATGGATCTGTGGGTACTTTTTAACCAGAAGATTGGAACTTTTTATTGCAGGGATTGTGTAACAGCTTCGTATTCACTCAGAGACAACAGAAGAGAGAGTCATGTTTTAAAAGTTTAAAGATTTATTACTAAACAAATTAAAACTTGACTAACTTTAACACTAAATGTATGGTGTAACTAAGGTGAATGAGACGGAGAATGGTGTGATGTGGAATGTTGCTCAGAACCAGCAAATTCGAAGAAACGATTAGTTCTGATGGGAATTGAAGGTGATGTCTTTGCGCTAAGCTTTTATTAGGAGATGCCATTCTGTCGGTCTATGTACCCTTTTGGAAGTCCCCGTCTAGGTCAGGAGGTGTAGAGGTCCAGCTTGACCTTTGTGGAGCCGAAGCTTGTAGAAACAGCCGCGGCAGTCGACCAGTCCAGTCTTGAGATACTTCCGGGTCACGACAGTTTTGTTGGCATCTAACAAGACCCAAACCTGGGCCGTGATGGTTCAGCTTTTATTCTGAAAGGAACCGTTGCAGCAGGTGGGACGGCAACAGATTTTAGGATTATAATAAAGTAATTAATATTTTCATTTCACAGATTGATCACATTTTATTATTGACTAACACTTTGTTTGATTAGCTTTATTAAAATAGAGTTCTTTGATTTGTTAAAAGGAGAGAGTCCTTTCTTCATTCTTCTCTTGAGCTGGAAAGAAGCAGTTTAGAAGCAAATGCATGAGACCTTGAGGCCATACCTCATGCAGACTAGTTCTGTGTCAGAGGAGAGGGGGAAATGACTTTTGGTGGAAAACAGTCTACAAAAGCTAGGAGACATTTCTCTTGTTAGATTCAGGTGTTAAAAAGACGAACGCACAGCGAGAAGATATGCTTTCATTTCGGTTCTACAAATTAACACTAGGGGGTGCTAAAGGCAAGCCTAAACTGCCTGGTCTCCCCTTGAAATAAAAAAAAAACTATTTAGTGTTTCTTTAGGAGTCTGGACCCATTAGGCCAATCACAGCAGGTTTATAAAGCTGAATCTGTTGGTGTAGCTACTTTATATCATTACTTTGCTTATTCAAAACATATTTTAAATATTTAGCATCATCTTCTGATCCAGACCAACCCATGAAACAAATCTAGTTATTGACTAGATCAAACATGTATACACTATCTAACACATGCTGGAGGTGTGTTTGGGTTATTACCCTGTTGAAGCATGAAACTGGTCCCAATCCAGTTCAGTCAACAATACCGCATGGTGGCACAGTTGTTAGCACTGTTGCCTCGCAGCAAGAAGGTTGCAGGTTTGAAACCCGGCTGTAGCCTTTCTGCCTTTAGATGACTTGTGATTGCAGTACTTTCTGTCAGGAAAATGTTTTGCAATAATGAAACTATTTCTGTAAAAATGAACAAATCTCTCCTCTCCTCTCAGAAAGACGATTTGGAAGCTACGCGTCGACTTCCTACAGGAGAGAGTTCTCAGCCAATGGGAGAAGTTCACCATATGGAACGCCGGGAAACAGGGCCGGATGCTGTACCGAAGCCTGAACCCGATAAATCAGAAGAAAGTACGTTGATGGTAGATGTGACTCATCCGTTGAGGCATGCTGAGTTTTTTATTAGTAAAGGTTAAAGAAGCTGTAACGTGTTTGTGTGTTCACATACATTACAGGTCAGGTGTTTCTGTGACGTGGATGAAAACAAGATCCAGAAAGGTTTCTACACATATGAGGAATCCAAGGTGAGATCATTCTGGAAGTGAGGCGTACGTTTGTGTTTTCATTCCTGGAGAAGAGGGAAGCAAAGTTTCAAAACTTAAAAGCTGCTAATTTACTTTATTTCAGTGAATCGAGTAAGTTCTGGTCAACGTTTATAAAATGTCATCCTCAGTTTTTTATTTATTTTTTTTTTCAGGAGAGACCAAAACCTAAAATCCCAGTTCTGCACTACAGAGACGCCACCGGTCCCTTCGTTATCTGTGTTAAGCTGGTAAACAGAGAGTGTGTGTGTGTGTGTGTGTGCGTTCATGCGTGTGTGTTGTTTCTGATGTCCCTCTGATCTGTTATCCAACTTAACAACAACATGATCCGGGGTGTGTGCCCAGTAACGGATGTAAAACACAGAAACACAGGAGGCTGTCAGGAAATGGGTTGAGTCAGCAGCCTTGGTGCTTTGATCGTGACGCATGTGCACTAAACGACCGTTCGGTGTGCACGTGTCGTGGTTTCAGTCTGATTATTTAACTCTCTGTTTCCTATAGCTTCAGTTTACTCCGAACAAATCACACTCCACTAAAATGTTCCCTCGCTAACTCCATTAAATAGATCGTTCCTTATTTGTCACCCGGGCAAATTCAGATTTAGATCTAGAGCGACTCCACCCAAGGTGTCTGCTGATTGCTCAATTATGGGAACTTGGGAGAAGTAATCTGATCAGGGGAAGTGGGCTCATTCATGCTTTTATTGTGAACAGCACCATCACACCTGGATTCAATCACGCGTTTGCCACCCAGATGCAACACGGCTAGAATAAAGAGCCTTTCTCCGAGGCTGTAAGCCTTTCCTCTCCGTTTGGCTGAAGTTTGGTTAAAGACCCACAAACAACCAGTAGAGCCGTCTTGAAGCTCTTACATGCTTCTTGGTTGATCGTTGTGTTTCTTGTTTTGTCTTTGATCAGGTCGGAGTGTGACAGCTTTCCGTGTTTTTCCACATGTAGGACATGACGGGGGGCATTCTGGAGGAAAACCTCAACTCTTTGCAGCTGAAGGAAGGAGCAGATTATTACCATTTCAACTGAGCGTGTAGAGTGATGCATAAAACCACAAGAGTCCCGCAGGTTAAACACGCTGAGGAATGCAAAGATCTGATTCATGGACTCGTAAACACGAACCGAGCAACAGCCGGGGTGTAACAAACACTGCAGCGATTTGAAATGTTCAAGAGTCTTTTTTTTATTTGTGTAAAGTCATCATAGAATAGATGTCAGCTTGAACTTCTCTGCTTCACTCTCAAACCACAGGCTGAGGGTTGTCACGCGTTTGAGGGGAAAGACTTTTGTTTTTATTTTTCTGGATTTTCACTTTTTTACATCAGCTTCATGTGGTAAATGTTAAGTTTAGGACGCTGCAGGCAGGAGCTGTTTTGTTCATCTCAGGCTGGAAATCTGCACCAGAGCCCTGCACGGGCCTAAAATCTGAGCTTGTGTCCGGCCCGGCCCGAGGGGGTGGAGCCCCAGCCTGACCCGGTCCGAAAAGGTTTTCAGGATTCTCTGGCCCGACCCGAGCCCGGCTTTTTTTTTTTTTTTTTTACCTTTCATAATGTTTTAGTGTGATAGAATGCTCAGCGTTCTAATTATCTGTGAGAAGCGTTCTGCAGTAAAAAAACAAAGAAAGAAAAGAAAAGAAACAGCATCAATGCAGCTTTTTTTTCTAACAGAGTGTATTTTTCGAGCGGCAGGTCAAATTTACAAACACTATATTAATTGGATGCGTTTGTAAATTTAATCTGCTCTGAAAATGCGCTCTTGTGCAGTTAGAAAAAAAAAGCAGCATTCTAATTTTCTAACTGCAGAGTGCATTTTCAGAGCAGCAGATTAAATAAACGCCCCCAATTAATAAAGCGTTTGTAAATTTAATCTGCCGCTCTGAAAATGCGCTCTCCGGTTAGAAAACCCCCAGCAATGAATGCTGTATTTTTTTTACTGCAGAGCAAATTTATTCACAGAAAAATAGATTGCTGCCGTTTTCATGAGAATAAACGAACGGTTTCTGACATCAAAGTGGACATAACATGGCTTATTAGAATAGGGGCACATGTTTCAATCAGCAGTTTGAGAATTTGTTTATATAGGCGCATTTATAAACCACACAGACCTTAACTGAGCTAACGGGTGCATGAGAAGCAGGCAGGTGCTGCTGCGTTCAAGTGTTTTTTTTTTATTAATTCGATTAAAAATAAAGGCGTCCGGCCCGTGTCCGAGGTAATTACACAGTCGTTGGCCCGAAGCCCGGCCCTCGGGTCGTCGGGCCGGGCCGACCCTCGGGCCTAGGGCCGGGCCGACCCTAGGGCCGGGCCGACCCTCGGGTCGTCGGGCCGGGCCGACCCTCGGGCCTAGGGCTCCAGTGCAGGGCTTTAATCTGCAGCATCAACAACAACAAACAAACCTCAGTTTACTTTTAATCATGAGCTAAATACTACATTTTATGAAACTCACACCTAATCATAAAAACTAGAGTCTGGTAACAAGACAACATTAAATTTACCGTAATTTCCGGACTATAGAGCGCATCTCAATATAAGCCGCGCCGGGCTAAAAGCTGCAGATATCTACTGAATTGAAAACGTAGTTTAACTGAACGTAACTGAACTGATCAGTATCAAACAAAACAGAAAAGTTATTGATTAGTTTATTCATCGTCCTCCTGTGCACTGAAACCACTGAAGTCATCATCTTCAGTGTCGGAGTTGAACAGCCTCAGAAGAGCTTCGTCACACACCTTTTCTGTGGCGATGTCAGTGTCGCTGTCCGTGTTGCTGTCATCATCCCGGGGTGAAGCTGGGAAAACAAGCAGCGCCGTTTTACTGTGAACAAAATCCTCCTGGGCGCTTTCCGTAGCGCTCCTTTAACCATTCCTTCATTAGACTTTACAGCATCCATCTTGTCTGGTTGGCTAAAGCCGCACCTCATTATAAGCCACATGGTTCAAAGCGTGGGAAAAAAGTAGCGGCTTATAGTCCGGAAAATACGGTAATTGTACTGTGTGGATAAAAAGTATGAGAAAGTTACATAAAATAGTTGGTTTAAGAAGCTGCTGTGGGTCACAATATTTTCATATTTTTTTTAATTAAAAAGAAAATCTGAAATTCATTTTTAGGCTTTTGTTTTTACTTACTCAACCATAAAGTCACCACATGTTTAACTTATTAAAAAACAAGGGAGATGGACTATTCTGACTTTGATCTAAACTGACTTTTTGGTTTGAAATGTAAAAAATAAGTCGAGTGTCTTTGTTTCTTTTATTTGAGTTAGTTATATCACCGTTTTTGTTGGATCAGTGGACCGTTCTGCTCGGTGTGTTCTGTCTTTAAGACAGGAGGTTACGTCGGAGAATCCTGGTTGAAATTCAGCTCCATTTACCACAAAATTCCAATTAGAAACACACAAATGGTTGATATGAGATTGTCACAACCCAGCTGGTCAGGTGATGACAAAAGTGGAGACACGTCGATTTATAAACCGTGTTTATATAGTAGTCGTCACAACCAGACATGTTGTTTTAACCATGCCTTGCATTTGTGAAATTACTGGAAAAATAAATTAACCAGATGCATCACCTGTATGTTTACATGCCAAATAAGGCGCAGAATGGGCTCACCTGCAGTAAAAGGTCACTCATTGGACCACAAATGGCCCACGGACCACATTTTGGACACATCTTTGACTTTTTAGGCTCTGTTTACATTGAATCAAGACCTTGCTGCGCACTCTGACTGGAAAGACCTGTTAGAATGTGGTTGGATTGATTCAGAAGTCAACCATGATGATCTGGTATGAGGTCAGATGAGGCCAGCAAGACACAAGTCCTATCACCAACCAAGCCTTCGACGTATGGATGGACTTCCACCACACTCCACTAAGTACCCTGATAAGCAGCTACCATGGTAATGAACCACCAAGACATTATTTTTTTACGTGTTCAAAACAAGTTTGAATCATTCAAACTTCACCATTCAAAAATGTGTGATTATTAATAAAATCAAACACCTGAGGCTTGTTTTGCACTATCTGAACTTCCAGATAATTTTGCCAAACCTTGTTGGGATGCACATGTCGTCGTTCACCAGGCCAGGCTCAACTTTTTGGGTCATTTCAGGAACCAGCAGAGTACCTGAACTGGGTAATGCACTCGGAAATGGCCCAGTGGAGTTGCTGGGTGGGACGCGCGTTTAACTAATGCTGATTGGTTGTAACTTTGTGGGAAATGACATCGGCAGAGGTGGCCAAACAACCGGCGTTTGTAAAAGTGGAAGAGTTGCTGGTGAAGCGGAATGGAAGGAAGAAAAGCAGCGTTGAAGCTACTTTAAAGTTACCATTTCCCTAACTCCGGAAAGTTCCGCGGAAATCCGCCCACGCCGTAATTATGCTACTTTGTGGTTTCAGAGCACTGTAAAAAAGCTGCTCCTTCTGGTCATTGAACGCCTCTTTTGACATTACGCAGTTGGTCTCCCAGTTGGATTAAATCATGACGTACTTTGTTAGAATAAAAGTTCTTTTATGTAATTAATGTCTGCGGACACGCTGATCAGTGACATCACTCACTGCCAATGCAGTCGCGATATGCTGATGACGTTGTAAGGTCCTGAAAGGGCTGACTTTGTATGGAGTCACAACAGCTAAGAGGACCAAGCCATCAAATTTCCCGGTCGCTTTTCCCCCTTCCCGGAATTTCCTGGAACTCCAATAGTGTAAACACGACTACAGCCTGATTTCAAACTGACTTAATGCTGAAAGAAATCATAAAAACAAAAGTTGTTTATTGATGTTTCACATTTATGAAGATGTGCAAAAGTGGAGTTTAAAGAATCCTCACAGAAGTTTGAACTTAAAGCAGAAGGGATGTTTTATTACCAGATTTCGAAACACTCTGATGCAACTGTGTGAAATCACACACACACACACACACATCTGTTATGCATAAACAATGATGGATTCTGCTCAGATTTGCTTTTTGTTCATTGCGTCCCTTATGAAACCTAAAGAACAATAACCTCTTTAAAAGGGCACAGTCATGATACACAAACACACACACAAAGGTTTATTTAACCACACGGAACGAGGAGATTTTCTGCCCAAAAGGTAAACAGACCTCCCCCAAAATTTCCCCCAGCATGTTCTGGGTCAGTAGCGTGGTCGAGCTTACTGTAAATCTGGCCACAACCGTTAAAAGAAAAGTCACGACGATGGCAAACTAAACGCGAGACCTTTTCTTTTATTTCTTACTTGGATTTGATTGACTGAGAATGAAAAGATGTGGTGTGAATGTACAGGAGCTGCACCACATTTGAGTTTCAGCTTTGTCCAGCTTGTGGTAAAACAAATAAATAAAAATGCTCCATTTAATTTCTGTAAAGAGATAAGAAACAAATACAGGGAAATTGCAAACAAATATTTTGTCTGTCCACTAATATTTTTTGCCTTTTCCTTCAGGGAAAGATGTTACCTGAAAGATTTGGCCCTATAAAAAGGGCCAAAGCCACCTCCAACTCCTGAGGAGGCTGAGGTCCTTCGGAGTTAATTCCCAGCTGCTAAAATGCTTTTATCATTCTGTGGTTGGCTCTGTTGTCCACTCTGATGGTCTGTTGGGGTGCAGGCAGCTCTGACCGAGACAGGAAGAGACTGAACAAGCTAGTTCACAAAGCTAGCTCGGTTCTGAGCCGCCCACTGGATTCAGTTGAGGAGACGTGTGAAAGGAGGATGCTGGGGAAGATGACCTCCATCTTGTAAACCCCTCCCAACCACTGCATTTCACTGTGGAGACGATGGACAGCTCCTTCAGAGGCAGGCTGAGACATCCCAGATGTAAAATTGACCACCACCGTAGGTCATTCATCCCCTCTGCAGTAAGAGTGTATAACTCCTCCGTTTAAGCTGTACTGGCATTATCCTGATACAAAATAACACCAATGTAATATTCATTATGTGTTCAATACCAGATTTATATAGTAGGTCTGTGTCTCTTGCAGTATGCTGCATAGTGCTGGAACCCAAGTAGTTTTCCTTTTTTATTTGTGGTTTTTAGCAGTCGAAGGTTACAATTCTAGACTACTGCCGGTGTATAAACATGTACCTTTGTTATTGTTTTTCATCAAATTATTCCCTTAAGTGTTGGTGCTGCTGTAACAAGGGAATTTCCCCATTGTGGGATCAATAAAGTCTATTCTCTTCTCTTTCAAAAGTCATCTTCATCAGTTAATTTGATGTTCAACTCCAATAACCTGCGCGGTTTAAGGGAGAACCACACACGACCCATCTCCTTCAGCCACTCTGGCCTCGTGATAAATCACTTGGTGGAGGATCTGAGTGAGCTCTAATGGACAATCTATGGAAGAGACTAAAGGGAGTAAACAGAATTTTGCTGCATGTTTACTTTGTGACTCTTTGCAGACATCAGAGCTGATAACAGCAGCAAGCACAATGCATGACCCTGACTCTGGAGCCCGCCTGCCTTTACTGGTCAAATAAACCAGCGTGTGTGTGTGTGTGTATGCGTGTGCAGAGAAAGAACACACAGCTGCAAGGCCTCTGTAATTCAGCCGATAGGAGTCGATTAGAAGTGATATGTTTGAGTGCCGAGGTCACAGAGGTCAGACATTCAAGGCTTTTTCATTCTCCTAAGTGGTAACAAATTCCTTTGTTTCTGCGTTTCTCTTCTAATAAAAAGTGTGCACGTGTGATAAAAATGACCTGTAACCAGTAAGGTATTTGACAGGCATGCTGCACATCAGAGCCTCTGGACTCTTCCTGTTGTTAACCGACAAAAACTTTAGCTGCATCAGATAAAATGTGTTAAAACCACGTTTGTGTTGCTGTTCGGCTGCAGGAGAGATAAAACGTTAACGTGTGAAACTTTCCGAGACGTCAGCAAAAAGAAAGGCTGGCCTTCTTATCTCATGTGAAAAACTGATCTGCAATCAGATTCAAAGCAGTCCTAATTTAAAAGTGTTTGAGTTTAGTTTTTCTAAGCTCAAGGGAAGCGATGTGGGGTATTCACCGCTGGAAACAACACAAAAACATGGGCCTTCATAATTATTTGTTGATGACAGAGGTGTGACCAAGTCACTGCTTTGCAAGTCACAAGTAAGTAAGTCACAAGTCTTTCCAGTCACGTCTCAAGTCGAGTCCGAAGTCAATGATGTGGAAGTCCAAGTCCTTATAACTTTGAATTTTAAAGTCATAATTAAGTCGTCTGTCCAACTTCAATTTAATGACAATGAAAATAAATAAATTCCAGAAATTCTTCTTAAAGCTGAGTTTATTTGGTCAAACAAGCAGAAAGTGCAACTGAAACTGATTATAAACAAAGTTCTGCTGCATTTAGCAGTAAATCAAACCCAGAACGAAGAACGATTCATGATTTTTGTCCATGTAGTGCCACTTTTGTGCTAAAATGTCAATTATTCTCAAGTCATCATCAAGTCAACAGTTGCAAGTTGATTCAAGTCGCAAGTCATTGGCATTCAAGTCCGAGTCAAGTTGTAAGTCCTTTTAGATTTTATCAAGTTATGTCAGAAGTCATTAAAATAATGACTCAAGTCTGACTCGAGTCCAAGTCATGTGACTGGAGTCCACACCTCTGGTTGATGATTTTCACCTCTCACGGTTCTTGCTGGTCTTTCACACATTTTCTTCAGATGATTCAGTTAGGTTTCAGTAATGTAAAGTGTTTCCCTTCATGTCATTGGTGCCCAACAGGTCCTCGATGGCCAATACTGCGTGTTTCATTTTCATGGTTGGGCTTCTTTTCGGCAAGTTCTACTGACGCCTGTTAATCTCTTAAAGATTTAAATCACAAAAACATTCATAAGATCCAGGATCGAGCTGCAGGACGAAAGGTGGACACCACTGGTTTGTTTTTTTCCTTGCTAACAAGCTTTAGATAATTTAGGGGGTTGTCCACTGATTGGAAGGTGAGTGTGCCAATCCCAGGCTCCAGCAGGCCATCCTTGAGCTAATCCAAATCCTGAAAGTTGGGTGATGTACCAACAGCAGCCCACTGCTCATCCAAGTGCAGAGAAATCACTTCCCAAAGGGATCAATGAAGTATCAGTTACAGCAAAGGATGCAGTAGAACATGAGCAAGATCAAACCTCCACCGTGTTGTACCATAGGCTGGATGTTCATCACTTTAATGAAAACTACATTTTCAAACATGTCTGATTCATGAAAGGATACAATTCCTTCAAACATTGTCCGTCTTTCAATATTACAGTAAATGTGGACACCTCCACTGCCTGAAACTCGTATGAAACCTTTTAGATGTCATCAGTATGAGTGTGTTGAGGAACTTTTAATATGTCCGTCTGTTTTGCTGCTGAACCAGGATCAGTCTGAGTGTGAGCTTCTGTTTTTCTGTCCTTTTTAGGAAGGTGGAAATGAAAATAACCTTTGATGGAAACTTTTATTTTAGTGGTTCTACGAATTTTAGATTTTTAACCTGATGGGGTTACGCATGTGGTTCAATGCTGGTCCTTTTTGGCGGCCATCCTGTATGTTTCAGATGTTTCTCTGCTCCAACAGCTGATTTGAATTAGTCCCCTAATTAAGGAAGGACATGTTGAACTAGTATTGAAACAAAACATGCAAAATGGTGACCCTCAAGACCAGGACCGGACACAACTATGGATTCAAAAGTAAGGCTGTGTTCTATCTGACTTTTCAATACGTTGGTTCTCAGTGTCAGACTTCACATTTAGATGATGGAGGGTGTAGTCAAACATCTTAAAATAACGAATGTCTGAAACTGAAAGAACAGTAATTTTTTGGTTGTAGAAATTTGTTATAAACCATAAAAAGGTCAAAAAGGCGGAATTGCAATCTGTCAGCTGCATAAGGCCCGAAACCATTTCTCCCACTTTCACTACCCCACAGCATGAGGTGGCAAACCTCCTTGCTAAATGTTCTTTCCTCTCTTTCAACAACTACCGTTGATGCCCTTGAGCAAGACACTTAGGCTCGATCTTGCTCAGCTGCTCACTGTAGATAAATTAATATTTCTCCAAAAGAGAGAGGAAATAAAGGTCACGAGGTCTGAAATGAGAGATACGGGAATGCGCGTGAGTCAGAGGAAGCATTGTGAGGACAGACGGAGCGTTCCTCCTGTCAAGCTGCTTGAGGAGAGCCAGGTGATCCCGGGAGGGATAAAGGGAGAAGGTCAAAGGCTCTGCTGCTCTGTAAATACTTCACATGATGAAGGAGCATCTGAGGTCAAACGGCACATCAGCAGTAAAACAATGGTGAAAGCATTGAATTTGAGCTCAGAGCTGGAGTGTTTTAGTCGTGGTGAGGGACGGTGTGTGCATTAGCTCCAGGAAGGGGGAAGCATGCATTACAGATCTGGTTATTGAAGAGTAGCGCCAACTCTTTATTGGTGATAAATGTGATACTAAATACTTATAAATGTGTTATTAAGTCACTCATCCGTGAAAAACCTGCACCAGTGTTCAACACTACTAAGCATAACATTAAAATAACCAGTGAGTCCAGCTCCTAATACTTAGGACTCCTAATACTGCCAACACTACGGCCTGTTGTTGCAACAACACTTAGGGAGAAATGTGAGTGTGTATTTGTGGAGAGGGGAGTACAGGAGTGTGCAGGACTTTATTGCAGTGTACCTCTAAAAGCGTTACACAGCTCTGGAAACGGAGCGGGAATGTGACGACTGAGTATCACGCTCCCTCCCCTCTGACTGGGTTCTCACGGGAAAGCCGAGCGAGATCCAAACAGGCGTTTAGAGCACATGTGTGACTTTCTGTCTGGTTGAATCTTTCATTCTTTTCTTTCCCGAGAAGACTGTCACGCAGCAGGTCTATAAAAAGAGTGGTAGAGCAGTGTCAGCTATAGAGCTGCCATTAAAACGGGGTACCAATGGTGAAGTGACACTTAAAACCGTGTTTATGTTTACTCAGGTGGTTATTACTGTTAGTCTAAATCAGGGGCCTGTGACCCTCATGATTAAAAGCACCATTCTTTACCAACTCATCTACGAAACACTATTTAATTAATGTGGACACAACATCTACTCAAGCTTGACAATCCATATAAGGGAACAGATCAAGTTTCATACACTGAAGCGTGTTGTTGTATTGTGACATTTTATTTGTCTTTAGAGAAGAAAATGTGTACAAGAAAAATGTTTTAAATGACTGAGTTGCTTCCGTTTTTTACTTATTTGTAGAAAATGAGGAAAGTCTTCATTAAGATGGATAAAGACTTTAGGTTGCACCTTAATGCGTTCAACAAACCTGAAGCCATGCATCAGGTTGTTGATTAGCCATGACTATAATAACCTTGAAAGACTCAGAAAAGGGTTGAATGCCTTCTCCAGGTCAGGGACGAGGTCCTGCCCCAAGTGGAGGAGTTTAAGTGTCTCAGGGTGGAGGCCGACCGATATTTTTTTTTGAGCTAATGCCGATGGCTGATATCTAAAGTTGATTATTAAGGCTGATATATACACATTTTAGCAGCACATTGATTGTGAAAGACAACTGAACAATCACTGTGTGCAATATAAATTAAATAAGCCAATAAATCTCTTAATATTTATTGAACATCAAATACTAAACAAATTGAAAACATAAAAAAAGCTGTGTGTTGGGGTCTTTTGGGTCTTTTCTTCAGTCTAGTAGTGGCGGTTTTTGGCCACAATGGTGCCTGATTTTTTTTCTTTTATGATCGTCTTTTAAAAATAATTTTGGCCGATGGTCGATATAGAAAATATTTAATATATTGACCTGATATATTGGTGGGCCTCTGTCTCAGGGTCTTGTTCACGAGTGAAAGATGGAGCGTGAGATCGATAGACGGATTGATGCTGCGTTTGCAGCGATGCGGGCATTGTACCGATCCGTCGTGGGGAAGAGAGCCGAGCAGGAAGGCAAAGCTCTCGATTTATCGGTCAATCTACGTTCCAAACCTCATCTTCCCTTGCACAATTTGACCAAAAGAAAGAGATTGCGGACACAAGAAATGAGTTTTCTCCACAGGCTGGCTGGGCTCTCCCTTAGAGATAGGGTGAGAAGCTCTGTCATCTGGGAGGGGCTCAGAGTAGATCCGCTGCTCCTCCACAACGAGAGGAGCCAGTTGAGGTGGCTCGGGCATTTGATTAAGATGTCTCCTGGACCCCTCAGTGAGGATGTTTGGGTGCATCCAACCGGGAGGAGACCTAAAGGAAGACCCAGGACACGTTGGAGGGACTATGTTTCTCATCTGGACTAGGAATCCCAGGATTCCCCCGAAGGAGCTGACCCAAATGGCTAGGGTGAGGGAAGTCTGGGCCTCTCTGCTGAGGATGTATGGAAAACAACCTTGAAAGACCTCACTATTGTTATAATAGTTTGTTTATTCAAAAATTTTCTGAATAATTGGCCGCATACAATCAAGTTACCAGATATTGATGTCGGGCAGCAGCAGATCAGGAGGCAGAGAACGTTGTGGGATTGATCTTGGCTTCCACCAGAGAATGCTGCTGGTGTGTCCTTGGGCAAGATGTTGCCTGCTGGTGATGGTCGGAGGGACTGCTGGCACTGGCGCCAATGTTCGGCACAATAATGTGAAAAAAACGTATAAATTATAGTAACTACCTATCTAAAAAAAGAAAAAGACTGTTATACCAGTGTTTCTACATATTTGACTGGAAACACGCAATGGTTACATTTAAAACACAAAATCGTTTTACACAAAGGTTTTTCCGCTTTTAAAAAGAGAAATATTTCAGCTGGGGGCTCAACAAACACATTTTGGTAAAACCCAATCACATATAGTAAGTTCTGGTACTGAAATGATGTGAATGTTTACAAAAATAAATAAAATGGCAACAGTTATGGTTTTACAGGCATCCTGAATATTGTTACTGAGTTGTGATAAGTGCCATGCACATGTTGCAAAGAAATTGCACAAAAAACTACTAAAACAACCTTTTTTGGTTGTTGTCAGCAGAAGCCACATGTGGCCAGAGCTGCAGGTTGAGAACCCTACATAATTAAGTTTTTAGAAAGTTTGTGAAAGCTGTAAAGCAATTACAGGAAAGCTGCTGCTGCTCCAAACCTACATGCTGATTTATTTTTTTTCCTACAATAGGATCCATGTGTTTCTAAACCAGCCCACGCCCACAGAGGCACAGGCTGGAGGTTTATAGTAAATCTAAAGCTAACCAGGAAACAAGCATTAATATTCTTCACACAGTTTGAGTAACATGGCAGCAAAACACGCATAAAGTTTAGCTTTATTCGTGTTAAAGCTGCTTTATCACTTATCCTGTTTAATCTGTGGGCGTGGCTTGGAACGAGAGCTCGCGTGGCGGAGTCAGCGGCTGGCACGCGCCCCTGGAGTGCGCGCAGCGAAAGTTTTAAACCACCGCGCATGCGCACTTTTACTTCCATAGACTTCAGTGGAGTTTTCTGCTTCAGGAGCAGCCAGCTTTACCTCCCGAGATGTAGCCCGCTCAGCTCAGCTGTAATTCCCAGAAAGAGTTGTATTTAACTGGATAATTTCGGTTCGGAAGCTTCAGCTCGTCTGGCTGAGCTGGTTTGGTGTCCGGGCGGCTATCCGGTGACCACCGGAGCGGAGAGTCCACCATGCTCCGGCCGTGGGCAGCTCAGTGGGTCACGGCCGTGCTCCTATGTCGGGCGGTGGCTCAGTACTCCAGCGACCAGTGCAGCTGGCGAGGAAGGTGAGCGTGGAGCCATTTATCCTTTATAATTTAGTTATTCGGTCATTCCTGTTTAGTTAGAGTTCCGTGTTGCTGTTGGGTATCTCACAAGAGGTTTGCATTTTTCTGAAGAGTCAGGTTTAAGATTAAAATCTCCGGAAACCGCTGAGTAATAAAGTTGGGTTAAAAAAGGAAATCCAAAGAATTTGCTCTACTTGTGCAAAGTCTTATTTAGCTGAAAGTATGCTTCTGCAATCACTTTTCTGAAGATAATGGCAAACAGATCCAGAGAATTACCAGTATTGGACAAATTTCTGCAAATGTTTCACTACCTGAAGCAGGTTTTGATCTCAGGAATGTCTTTGCTCCAGTTCCTATCTTGAGTAAACAGCCGCATGTCGCCTTTGTTCATTCTTTCAAGTCTCAAAGTAGTAAAATATAAAAGCTCCCACCTTGAATTGTGTGTTATAAAGTTCATTAACCTCAAATTTCCAACAGTTTCAGTCTGTTTTCTCCACAGGTGTGAGATTTGTTATCCAACAATCCTCCTGATGGGTTTAAAATAATCCCCTCTGTGTTTATGTTGGTGGACATGTTGATGCTTTTAAAGACCTCCTTTCTGTTTGTGATGGATTCTTGTCTCATCCGCAGTGGTTTGAGCCACGAGTTTCACCGCAGAGACGTGGAGCAGGTCTACCTTCGCTGCTCTCAGGGGTCTCTAGAGTGGCTCTACCCCACCGGAGCCATCATCATCAACCTCCGAGCCAACACAGATCCTTCATCGGGACACACAGCAGGTGTTCACGTGTGCATCAAGCCCCAGCCTTACTCCCAGGTAAACCTAAACTAGAAATAAATCATTAGAGTTTAGTCATTTGGTTCTGAACAAGGCCTCCCGTTCTCCTTCAGGGTTCTCATGTGTACCTGGAGCACAAAGGGGACCTGAGGCTGCTTCTGGCAGAAGAAGACCATGTTCTGGGCGAGGTGATCTGTTTCAGCCTGGCAGAGGGGGCTCTGTTTGTAGAGGCCATCCCACAGATGGACATCAGCAGGAGGATCACATCTTTCCAATATGAGCTGGTGCCCAGTCATGGACCAGGAGCACACATGTACCCGTACCTACACCCTCATTCAGGTATCAGAACCAGTTTTCTTTTCTTCTGTTCTTCCTAAAAAATATTATTTTATAGCATTTACTGGAAAGACTCGTGAGCAAGATGACTTTCCAGTTTTATGCTGCTCACAGAGCGGTTAGAAGAGTTCACCAGTTTCAGTTTCTCAGTCTTTCAATGTGTAAGAAATAGTTTTACTTTTAACCCTCTGATGCATGAATTATGAAATCTTCAACCATGATTTTTTTTAACAATTTTTTTCCATTCATCTTTAGGTGTGAATGAAACAAATTTCAACAAATAGTTTTTGTAAAATTTTATAATTTACAAATAATTTATTACATGTCCACATCAGTGGACAGCGTGCATTCTGAGCATGAAATATGTTGGTTTGACTTACTGAAGTCCAAATGGAGGGGCTCAAATGCAATAAAGTCTTCAACAGCTGTGCTTAATAGCAAAAACAAATAAATAACTATTTTGAGTACTTGTCCACTGTAGTGACCGTTATGCATCAAAGGGTTAAAGTCACACTAAGGCCTGACTCCCTCTGCGTGGGTACGGAGACAGGCGACACCATAATGTGTCGGTGCAAGGGCTTCCTGATGAGCTTTTAGAGACTGATGGAAAAATTCCCATATTTCAACTATCTGTCGCAGGTTTGTGACCGGTCAGGACGTTACTTCCTTTAACTTCACTGACGGCACCGCCATTGCCCCCTCAAATAACAGAGGGAGCCAAAGATATTTAGCAGCAAACGTAGAACAATTTGAAGAATGTCTCGTAGAAAAAGTCCGAAATTACTGACGTGCATTCAACCGTGAAGGAAGGAGTACAAAGATAAGCAGCAAGAGTTTTATTCGTGGGCGGAAATGATGGGAAACTTGGGTTTAGAGGTGGCAGCCGCATAAAGAGGTGGAGGAGAATGAAGGACAAATGTATCTATGTTAAAACGTATCTGAAATACACAAACAGTATAAACACAAGGGATTGGTACCAAATTCAGTACATTTTAAGGCACCAACTGAGGACTTGCAAGACAGCAATTTGCCAAGATAGACAGCAGCGTGTACACAAGAGCGTAATGTCATCAAGTGCTGCGGGCGAGCTGTAAACAAAGGAAGCAGCATGTCGGAGGGAAATCCTTTAAAGTTTGGGTCCACTTAACTAAACGTGATGGGTGATGATGACAACATCGACAACGATCCAAGTGAGACACCATCGTCCTAATTTGCTCCAGCAGGTAAATAAATGGTTTAAGGTTACGTTAGCTTGATATTTTAGCTTCCGTTAGCCAATGGTGCGTTCGCTTTCTCTTTAGAACTCGGAAATTCCCACTTCTGAGTAGGAAAAATCAACAGTTTGAAAATGAACAGCAAAAGGAATGAAGACAGAATAAATTTAGTTCACAGCTAAGATGTTCACTTCAGTTTAATTTGCAGTTTTTAATACTACAAGGAAGCACCCATCGCACAATTTCTCCAGAGGGGAAAGGAGAGGATAAGGAGTACATGGAGCTGAGTTTTAGTTTGTGAAACTCCACAATATTAAAATACAAACATTTGTACGGAATCAAAGTTCGTTTTTGTTTCATTTGTAGTTTATAACACATGGTCTCGTCATCAAGTTAGATTAGGGGTACACGGAGCTCGGTGTTCATTTTTGTGTCATTTAGAAACAGTTGTTGTTAAAGGTTCTCGCACTGAAGAATTTTGTACGCTACGATGATAAAATACAAACAGTAGTATGTTATTTATCGTGATAATTATCAAATATGGTTTTATGTTGGGTTATATTGGGACAGCAGCAGCTCAGGAGGTAGCGCGTATTGTCCAGTAGTCGGAAGGTTGCAGGTTCGATACCGGCTCCAACCAGAGAATGCTGCTGTTATACCCTTAGGCAAGACACTTAACCCGCTTTGCCTGATGGTGGTGGTCAGAGGGACCGGTGGCGCCAGTGTTTGGCAGGCCTCGCCTCTGTCAGTGCGCCCCAGGGCAACTATTAAACACTTTAACGTATCAAAAATTGGTATAGTTAAGTACTGGTGTCAATTCCAAGTTAGCGGTAATTGGTACCGACTAGATGAAAGTCAAAGTTCGCCATCCCTAAAAAACGCAATAGTAAACACACTGTTGTGGACGGGATACGTGGCTGTGGTGCCGCGATACTCACTAATGAGGCTCCGTTGTCCTCGTGGAGAGTTGCTTTGTGGCACTCGCCCAGCACATTTTGCTCGTTCTTCTTTTGAACTTTTATAAAATTCTCCCAAATGTTCGATCTCTGTTGTCAGCACGCCGTGACTGCTTGGGCTTTTCCGATGACGCCACAGCTGAACCTGAATACCTCTGCTGCAAATGTGCATCAAGAGCAGCACAGCGGCAGTTTGGAGAGAAAAACAAAGCTTCAAACAGGAAACGATGATATTGTTACATTTGTTGTCTACGATTTTCGTGAGTCAACGCAATTATGACCAATCGGCCAATCTCAGCAGCGATAACATATGAGAGGTTGCAACACTGAGTGAGACTGAGGTGATTTGACCAAAACTGCAAGAGCATCATGAAAAGCGGCGGGTAATACGCATCAATTCAAGGAATGTTGGTCTTTAATCTTAAACGGTCTTTACTTCTTCATCCCACCACCATGACAGTCTCCTCCCCCATTTCCTCCCCCCTCCACACTCCCTTGTGTCAGGCACACGTATGAAAACAAGCAGACCAATCACAAAGCCTTGTCAGGGTCAAGCACGGGGGTCAGCTAGTCCTCCCTCAACTGTCAGTCAAAAGTCCACCCCCCTCCTGCTCCCTTCAGCAGGAGTTGTGGGGAGCCCACCCGCCACGAGTGAAGTGTGGTGGTGGTGGGGGGGGGGGGGGGCGTAGCTTCCTTTATAATGACTGAGAAGAAAGCTTCCCCCCTGAAGTTTCCTGTCAGAGTGTGTGTCTGGCGGTTTATAGCTGTTTTTATAGCTGACGGGGTCAAAGGGTAATTCTCTGAGTCAGTCTGCTTTTCCTCTGGTTAAGTCACCTGCTTTTTTCAGCCAGATCCACGTTTTACTTGTTTGGATGTCTCCTAAAAAAAACGCCACAACTGCACACGAATAAGAAAAGAACAATTTTAGATGGAATAAGGTCACTTGTTTGCTGAAATTGTAAAAATGCTTTTCATGTCTAAGTTACACAACATTTAATGTTATTTCCTCCCATGTTTCCTTTCCTAGTTGCATGTAAACCCTGCTCGGATGAAGAAGTCCTCATGGCTGTGTGCTCCAGTGACTTTGGTAATTATAAGAATCCAAAAACCTACATTTTATCTAAAACAATTCAAAATATCCATTATGCTGCATATTTATCCCACAAAGAAATGGATGTTAATGTTAACTTTTTAAATATAATTCATAGAATGATAAACTTTTGAGGCTAAATCTCATTTGTTAAATATTTGCATAGAAAAAAGTAAGACAGTAGGAGGTTTTGCATGAGTTATGAACTAGATCTTTATTATCCAGTCCACTACTACCGACTGAAGTTTGCAAGTCTTTTGAAACTAAAGAGATACTTTACAAATGTTCATATTTTAAACTATTTTCTTGAGCCAGTTTGTGCTAAAATGACCCTTTACGGGGTTAATGAAAGGCCACCCAGCTCCTATTGCTCCTTGATGTTCTGACATAACTGGTGCTGCAGTTTCCTGCATGTTTTAGATCGTGAACACGGCTGATTTGTTTGATTTAGTGATGAATCAATCCTGTAGACACTAATGAGGGCTGGGGAGACATTTCAGCTGTTAGATTAAGGTGTTAAAAAGATGAACGCACAGCGAGGAGATTGGCTTTGCTTTTGATTCTACAAACACACACTAGGGGGTGTAAAAAGCAAGCAAAACTGCCTAATTCCCCTTTAAAATAAAACAAAGCTGATGGTGGTTTTGGCTTCTTTTTAAAGCACCAACTTAGAAAGTAGTTGATTTTCTGGCCTGGCACAGGTTGCTGACTGGTAACCACTGTAGGAAACGATCACATAGCGTCACATTGAGGGGAAAACAACCTTGTTTTACAATTTCATTGAATCTCTTGCATGATCTGAGAAATGTTTCCAAGTCAGGAGATTTATTTTGATGTTATATAATATCAGTTTAAATATACAAACATCATAAACTCCTGATCAGACCAGAATTTAAGTATTTTTAGCAGAAAAACTTTAAGTTCTGTCAGAAGAATGTTTTTGTTAGAGGTTGTTGAGCAGATATCAGCAGTGTGCAGCAGTTACACGCCTGCACGACCAAACAGAGAAACTCTGTTTAACAAGGAAAGGAAGTCTGCAGTTTCAGAGCTTTAAAAAGAAAACATGCAATTATTTACTGAGGAAAACTGACAACTTTTGTGAAAAAGTGTGTAAAACACATCCTCTCAAAGCGCAGTAATGATAAACACCATAAAAGAGCCGTAAACCGGCGATGTCTGCAGCTGTTATGTAGACGTGAACCCAGACGTAGATCACGTTTCACCCTAAACGGGACCGTCTTCACCATTTCTGGACAAGTTCTTGTGCCCCATTTAGCTACGTCCTCCCAATAATAGCCAGCGAGGTGGTGCTTGGGTCAGGAACCAGCCTCAAAGCCTTCCCACTTTCATTTCTGATGTTTGCAACCAAAGTGTGGAAGTAATAAAACAAAAAGGGTCAATTTCAAACCAACTGAGACATAACTAAGAACCGTTGTGACTAAATTGCAACAAGAACATTATCAAGACAGTTGCACAGCCCATGATCCAGCCGTGCTCCATACGTGTCCTATAAATAAGTTTTTTAGGTCCTTCTAGCTTCCAAATGTCACAGCCCACTGAGGAACTAGCAGCTAGCCTAAAAGACCTGAACTCTATTTTGCTGCTGTCAGAAGTCACTTAGTTCAGATATTTGGATGATTTTAAAGTTTATCTCCTTCACGTCTTGTTTCGTCTCGTCTAGCTGGCCGTGGCGTCTTTCGAGGCGTTGCATCAGCTACGAACGACCGCTCCCTGGTCGCCGTGACTCTGAGTCGACTGTTTCGCCAGAAGAGCAGCGTGTTTTCCTGGGGCGGAGTCAGAGGACGCGGCTGGAGCGGACGGGTCAGTGTTCCTGCTCAGTGTGGTGTCCGTCCAGGGGAGGACGAATACCTTCTGACCGGTTCTGTCCACTTTGGCTCGGCGTGGCTCGGCTGTGCACCTCGATACAAGGACTTCTTGAAACTTTACACCAGAGAACAGGAAGCAGGAACCAATCCCTGTCAAATAGACACAAACTGAGAGGTTTCCTTCAGACTCGGACTTGTGCAGCACCAAAGACTGAATGTGCTGCCTCCTTTGTACAGTGCATGTGTAAATATGTGATAAGTGCGCAGCACAGAAAAAGATTTTTGTAAATTAGTGACCTGAAAGTATTTTTATTATAAAAATGACTCGGCTCATTTTTTAAACAAATTTGCTTTGTAAAAAGCTTTTTTTGTAACATGTAGAGTCTTCTGACAGAAGTGAGTAGTCTGCAGCTCTGTGAGTTTCAATCTACTGGGTATGAGTTTACAGAAAAATAAAAACGGCATTTTTGTTGACTGAAGTATATTTTGTTTGCTTGTGAATGCATCAAAAATCACAAACCCCGTAAAAAGAAAAAGAAGCAAATCTTTTCTGGTCCTTGTGGATTCGAACAAAGACGTGTTATCCAACTCTGCACCCAGAAGAACGGACCGTTACGAGTGCTTGGTGACCATCGGCTGGCAGCAGAGCCGGGGTGCGTCGGCGCTTTCGTCGCTGCCCCCGCGGAGCCACTTTTCTGGTTGGTGTCCACTTTCCCCTCACGCCTGAGTTCATTCCTCACTGAATCACAGGAGGAGCAGTTTAGTTTTCCACCACAGCAAACCAGAGCCAACTCAGTAGATGGCTAATATTTTTTACATCAACGTAATGAATTTTATTTAGAAGCAGAACCTCTGCTGACGACTGGGATGATGCAGGAGGTCTGTAACTCGGCGGCAGCAGAAATAAAGACGTATTTTCTGATGGACGGTGTGTGATGGGCCGGGCTGAGAGGAGGCGGATGTGTCGGTGACCTTAAACGTCTGTACGTGCACCTCTCCCTCCGCCTGCTGTCAACAGGAGTGTGTGTGATGCTTTCTCTCCTTCCTCAGGAAGAGAGTATAGATGGAATGTCACCTTCCCACACACACACACACACACACACATATGAATGGCTTGTATTGCAGATCCTCTTGCTAATATTTTATAGGCTTTTTACATCAAGCATACAAAGCTGAATCTAAACCTTCAACCTGAGTCTGAAACATCCAGCTCTTTAAAGGGCTGCAGGAAGAAGATGATGAATAACTCACATTTGCTTTACGACGTAAAGGAGCATTGGCGTGAAGTGCACGCTACTTTCAAACACTCCAGCTGTTTATTGATGCATTTTAGGAACTAACTAAAGCTTTGTGGTGATAGCTGATGAGGCTTAATTACGACGAGCGGCGCAGTGGTTAGAGCTGTGGCCTTGCAGCAAGAAGGTTCTGGATTCGCTTCCCGGCCTGGGATCTTTCTGCATGGAGTTTGCATGTTCTACCTGTGCATGCATGGGTTCTCTCCGGGTTCTCCGGCTTCCTCCCACAGTCCAAAAACATGACTGTTAGGTTGACTGGTCTGTCTAAATTGTCCTTAGGTGTGAGTGTGTGTCTCTGTGTTGCCCTGCAATTGACTGGCTCTCTGTCCAGGGTGTACCCCGCCTGATTGCCCGTTGACCTCTGGAGATAGGCACCAGCCCCCCCCCCCCCCCCCCCCCCCCCTGCGTGGACAGGCGGGTGCAGAAAAAGGATGGATGGGCTTAAATATGTTTTTCTGCGTTTGTTTCCCAACCCTCAGGGCGCACTGACCTGCATGTTTTCCATATCTGCTTCAACACGCCTGATTCACATTGCCTCATCAGGAGGACATCAAGTGTTGCAGATGCCTGTTAATCACTCATTCGTTTAAGTCGGGTGTGTGGCAGCAGGGAAACACTGGTGTAAGGGCAACGTGGAAAACATGGAAGACCGTGTACCCTGAGGACCAGGGTTGAGAAACACTTGTTTGCGCTAGTGCACAACATTTAAAAACATCTTTTGGGGTGGCACCTGCTCTGTAGCCAGTTTGTCTTCTATTCTCTAGCATAGTTGACCTCGTCCTTTCTGATGCATCCTGGTGTGGAAGCTGTGTGTTCGTTTTTTCTGTTTGACATCAATTAGATGTGGATTCGGCTTTCTAAATGTGCTGAAAGGGAATGAAAACAGGGTCATGGTGAGGATGAGGTTGAATGAATGCGAGTCCTACTGAACTTAAATGTGAGGAATGAAATCAGCTGCAGAGGGACGCACTGTGAAGAGAGGACGGTCTGTGTAACACTCTTGTCACACACACACACACACTTTCTGACTGACGTGTGTGTTTGCGTGCATGTGTGTTTGTGTTGGGTCGTAGCTTAAAAAGACCATAACACACGCGCCTCACACACCGTTGACATGCAAACAGATCTGTCTGCAGAAACTCGACCCACGTAAGCAACACCCTAAAACCTCCCTCTGGAAACGACCCCCCCGTCTCACCCCTCTACCCTCCTCGGTATCCTCGCTAATTCAGGACACACTCATCCATCGGCACGGGTGTCTTAATGTCAATCTTTCTGCGGGAGAGTGTGTGCGGTGTGGAAAGAGTGTGTGCTGCAGTATGTGAGAGGCACAGCTGAGCGGTCAGCTGGGCTGGAGGGAATGGCTGAGCTCAGGGAAAACAGTCACAGGCTTCCACCCACGCTGAGTAGTAGCAGCGCTGGCATTTTTTAAAGCACTGGCCAGGGTGGGGTCACTTGTTTTACAAGCTGGAGCGGTGTCCAAAATTCTAAATCTTCATCTGATTTCACTAACTCACCAAAAAAGGACACACTTTAGCATCCCTGAATTATTATGTTGAACAGAGAGATCATTTCAAAGAGCTATTTGCCCAAAACCATCTAGAGCAGATGGATATGATTACATTTTTATTTTTTTAGAAAATAGGGTAAATTCAGCTAACGGAAGCCTGAGAAACCACTTGAGCTCTCTGAGACATCTCTGCTGGCTAAAAGCTGCATGAGAGTTGCAGCTAAGTTGCTCGTCGTGGCTTCTGGAAGTTAAAGTTAAAGTCCCATTAGTTGTCACACACACAGGTGTGTGTGCGAAATTTGTTCTCCGCATTTGACCCATCCCCTGAGGGAGCGGTGAGCTGCAGACACGGCCGCGCTCGGGAACCATTTGGTGGTTTAACCCCCCAATCCAACCCCTTAATGCTGAGTGTCAAGCAGGGAGGCATTGGGTCCCATTTTTTCAAAGTCTTTGGTATGACCCGACCAGGAATCGAACCCTGATCTCCCAGTCTCAGGACGGACACTCTACCACTAGGCCACTGAGCCTAGTGAACACAGGAATATGTCTAGCTGTTTGCGCATAAATCACAGCACTACCTGAAAAACATCTCATATGCTTCAAGCATGATGGTGGGGTGGTCGATCATTTGGTCTTGATCTGCAGCCACTTGACCCAGGCACCATAAAGAGCAAGTCACCCCCCTACCATAATCCTACGACTCCTTCACTCCTTCAGCGGTGTGGAACGGTTTGCTCATGAGCTTCACTGTGCGCACATCCACACCGGGAGAATCTCAGCCAAGGAGCAGCTTCTCTGCTTCCTCCTGGCTCGACTCGCGAGCAGTGGCGGCTGGTGAAATTTTTGGGTGTAGCACAACTTAACAGGTGTTGTGCTGAAAAGAGCATGCCAGGCGAGATTTGCATGCCTTGTTATGGGAAGGTGCTTATGAATAACGAGGGTTTTAAATTGCACTATTAACATTTTTCCTATCCATTTGCTTCCACACAAAATGATTTACAAAGTGGTTTATGGGCAGATGCATTTAAATACATTAAATCTTTTAAATATTTGTCATTTCGAGTCACATTCCATCCATCCATCCATCCATTTTCGTCCACTTATCCAAAGTCGGGTCGCTGAGGCAGCAGCCTAAGCAGGGAGGCCCAGACTTCCCTCTCCCCAGCCACTTGGACCAGCTCCTCCGTGGGAATCCTAAAGCTTGGTTTATGCTTGACGCATTCACTTTCCGCTTGGTGATGCGGCTCGCGGATGGAACGCGCTTCACAACTCGCAGCGTTTATGGTTCGTGCGGCTCGTCTCTGCGGTGAGCCAATATTCTCCCAAACTGAACGAGGCAGCATGGAGCTCTATGGCATGCATCCAACACTACACCATAGTAGAAGTAGAAATGACTGTTTACAACATGGCATTCCAGCATTTTTAACAGCGTCCTCGTCTTTTCCGACAGTGCGAGCTATTTCTCTCCAAGAATTATTAACAACATGTTGATCCCGGTGATCTCTGAGAGCTGAATCATACAAATGTCTGTATTTACCAACCTCTGCCATACTAGTTCTTGCCGGTCCGCCATGTTTTTCCGCGTCCGTCCGTCCGCGTGGTTAGAAATTTTCCGAGGTGTGCGTTGTGGAAATCTTGGGACGTGCGGAGACGCGGTGGAGGGGCGTGGTTGTTAAAATGACGCAACTTTTCCGCGCGGAGCCGTGCGAACCTCGCAGACACGTCAAGCATAAACCAACTTTAAGGCGTCCCTGACCAGCCGTGAGACATAGTCCCTCCAGCATGTCCTGGGTCTTCCTTTAGGCCTTCTTCTGGAGCGACGTGCCCAGAAAACCTCACCAGGAGGCATCCCAACCAGATGCCTGAGCCACCTCAACTGGCTCCTCTCGATGTGGAGGAGCAGCGAGTCTACTCCGAGCCCCTCCCGAATGACCAAACTTTTCACCCTATCTCTAAGGGAGAGCCCAGCCGCCCTGCAGAGAAAACTAATTTTGGCCGCACGTACCCACGAGTCACATTCCTGTTTTTTTTTAAACCAACAGCAAAATTCAAGCAGGCAGGAAAAAATAAGTATTTACTCTCTAAACATTAGTCTCTATTGTGTTTAAATAAAACGTGTAAAAAACTTTTATATTTGATCATATTTAATCATATTTCTAGTCAAAACGAAAAGATTTTCAGGAGAAACACAGATTAGAAAAGTGTTCACATTATGAATGTATTAAAATTGCCTCATCGCTCATAATTCTAATCATTAAGTCTGAAATGTGTGGTTGTGATGGAAGGGAGGACGGTTAATGGTGGAGGCCAGCAGCCCTGAGCCGTATCATTTTATGTCGGTTCATGAGTGGCCGAGGAAGCCGGGGGCGTGGCTAACACTTGGCTGCTGCCCTGTGCTTAGCCAATAGCGATGGCTGATTCTAATCCAGATGTAGCACAGATATTTAACCCACAAGAGGGCGCCACACTGACAGTTTCAGGCAGAATGTTTCTATTTAATTAAGGTGCACTAAAATGGTTAAATAATGACTACACATGTCAACAACACATCTCATTTATACAGTTTATCAGCAAAACACGTTGATTAGGGGTGACTTGCTCTTTGAGATTGAAGCACATTCGTTTACATCTTTGCATAAATGAGAGTCCTACGGTTTAGGGCCAGCAGGTGTTTCAGTTTGTATAATTGCAAAAAACTCAATTTTAAAAGATGCAATCAAACATTCTCATACAGACTGAAAAAAACTAACAGAAGCTCATTTCTTATAAATATATCTTGTCAATTTTAATAAAACAAAAACATACTCCATCCTTACACCAAGCATGCAAAACAGTTAAATTTAGTCATTACCATCAAATATAATAGAAGCCCTATTGTTTTTTATGAAAATGGGAAGTAAAGCTGTGTAGTTTCACCAGAACTGATCTGCAGTGGAACAGGAACTAATCTAACTTTTTTTTTCTTGTTTTGCAAAACATTCAGGCATACTGACATTAAACACTGATTAGTCAGGTTACATTTTTACGTTATCATGCTGTCTACCTTTTTTATGAGTAGGGCAGAGACCGTATGATAGCTGACATTTAATGCACGTGCAACGTGCAACTTTTTGTTGCAAAGCTTTTGAATTTATTGTTTTATAAGTTAGTCTAAAAAACTTAAATAAATAGAAATACAATTTAAAATAAGCGAACAGTGAGTTTTATTTATTTATTTTTTTATCTTATTGTTTATTTAATAATATTTTTTATTTAACGCCAGACAAAAATATTTCATCTAATAAACTAGAGATGATGTCGCGTATTTCCTTGTTCATTCCAGTTACCATACATTATTACCATATGTTTTTTTATACACAGTGACAGTTTGACCACATTGTTACCGTTTCTTAGTTCGTCTTCAGCAGCATACGTGAGATCACTTTTTATTCTCATAACAAAATTGATTTGTATAATATCCAAATGTGACGCCATCGTGCCAGAGTACATGCTCCCGGAGCTTTCTGACCAATTTGTTTTTTATCTTTGTAAAATCATGTCTATATGTTAGCAATTTGTTTTCATGCATATGCATTTATTTTACAGATTTTTCTTTTAGATTGAACTTTTTTTTGCTACAGATAACCTGGATCCGGCTGGATGTACTTCCACAAAATCAATTATTTGAATTGGGTGCCCTCTGATGGTGGCGGATGTAATTACATTAAAAAAATCACCAATAACGGTGCAAGTGCTGGTCATAAAATTAGAATATCATGACTAAGTTTATTTATTTCAGTAATTGTATTTAAAACGTGAAACTTGTATATTAGATTCATTCATTACTCACAGCCTGATATAATTAAAATGTTTATCTCTTTAATTTTGAAGATTATAACTGACGACTAATAAAAAAAACAAACTCTGTATCACCAACCAATGATGTAAAATGCAGTTTCAGCATTGGCCAACTGTAAAGTATGAACATGTAAGTATGAGCATGTGGAGCACTCAATATTTAATTGGGCTCCTTTGGCCTGAATTACTGCAGCAACGCGGCGTGGCGTGGAGTCCATCAGTCTGTGGAACTGCTCAGGTGTTATTTGAGCCCGTATTGCTCTGATAGTCACCTTCAGCTCTTCTGAATTGTTGGGTCTGGCTTATTGCATCTTCCTCTTCACAATATCCCATAGATTTTCTATGCGGTCAAGCTCAGGCGAGTTTGCTGGCCAATCAAGAACAAGGATACCATGGTCCTTAAACCAGGTAGCTTTGGCACTGTGTGCAGGTGCCAAGTCCTGTTGGAAAATGAAATCTCTAGAACTTCCTGGTAGACGGCTGTGTTGACCTTGGACCTCAGAAACCACATTGGTCCAACACCAGCAGATGACCTGGCACCCCAAACCATCACTGACTGTGGGACTTTGGTTTCCAAAGGAAATGCTAAACTTACTTTCATCAGAGAACATGACTTTGGACCAATCAGCAGCAGTCCAGTTTTTTTTTTTTTTTTTTGTCTTTAGCTCAGGTGAGATGCTTCTGATGCCGTCTTCTGGCTTGAATGTGAATAATGCTGAAACCCGTGTCTTGCATACACCTGACTCCAGCTGCAGTCCTCCACTCTTTGTGAATCTCCCTCACCTCTCTGAATGGGCTTGGTTTCACAATCCTCTCCAGGATGTTGTACACTTTTTTCTACCTTATTTTGTCCTTCCGTCACCTCTATTAGTGTGTTTGCACACAGAGCTCTGTGAACAGCCTGCCTCTTTAACAATGACCTTTTGTGTCTTGGCCTTTTTTTCATTGGCCTTAATTGATATTCTAATATTCTGAGATACTGAATTTGGGATTTTCATTAGTTGTCAGTTATAATAATAAAAATAAAACATTTGAAATATATCAGTCTGTGTAATGAATTAATCTAATAAACAAGTTTCACTTTTTGATTGGAATTGCTGAAATAAATCTACTTTGTCATGATTTTCTTTTGTGACCAGCTCCTGTATACACACACACACACACACACACACACACACACACACACACACACACACACGATAAGCAGTAATTTAATCTTCTGTTTCAGTTCTTCTGTAAAGGAGACCAACTCAACAACTGCACAGACATGATGGCAAATCCAACAAAGTTCAGGCTGCACCAACTTTCCTCCAGCTGTTTCTCTGTGACCATCACAGAACTGGAAGCAGGAGATGCTGGGAGATACTACTGTGGTCCAGACTCACAGCGGAGCTTTACAGACTACACCAAGATTCAGCTGGAAGTCGGTAAGATCAGGAAAACAAAACAATAAAAGCAGGTTTAATGACCTAAAAGGGTTATAAATTAAATCAAAGTTTGTTTATTAACTGGATATAAAACAGTTTTCTACTGCAACTGATCGATGTCAAGAAAATGTGTAATGATCAAAACACCAGAAGTTTAAAAATCAGCAAAGTCAGTTTATAGCTGAACGTTCATTTTTTTCATTATTCTGTAAACAAAACAAATAAAAACATCCATTCACTCATTTATTGATAGTTTCTCCACATGAAAGCAGCACCGTGAGCCTGAGCACCATGACTGGACACGTTACATCACCACCACCACCACCACCACCATCATCATCATCATCACCATGTGAGTACATGTTTAAAAGCTTTAATACCAGACCTGATTAAAGTAGATCCGTTTCATGTATCTGTAGCAGTGGAGACATTGAGTGTTTGTAGTTTGACTTTTGCTGCTAATTCTATGAGAACAGGAACATGAAAGTAAAGACCGGATGTTTCAGGTCACAGCCATTAAACCATAAATATACCAAATAAAGCCGTCATGATGGGGTAAAACATTCACGTTGGTGTGAAAAACACACACTAACTTCTCTATTTTTGTCTTTGCAGGCATGACTTTATTTTACATTCTGCCTGCTGTAGTTCTGCTGCTGATAATAACTTTAGTTATTTTAATGTAAAAGTCAAAATAAAAGTTTTTTAAAGGAAGGCTTGGTTTCACATCCTCAGCTCGTCTTATTTAAAGTTCATCCTCTATGTCGAGAAAGGTCACAAAACTTGAAATAAACATGTTGGTGATGAATAAGAACATAACCTACAAGGGTAGCATGAATGCACAGTCAAAATACTCCTCATGTGTCTTTCTCTATTGGACAGCAGTAGCGAGGAAGTTTGGTGGGTTGTTCAGTAATCAAAAGGTTGCGGGTTCAATCTGACCAGAAAATGCTGCTGTTGTGTCCTTGGGCAAGACACTTAACCCGCCTTGACTGCTGGTGGTGGTCGGAGGGACCGGTGGCAGCAGTGTTCGGCAGGCCTCACCTGTATCAGAGCGCCCCAGGGCAGCTGTAGCTTCGTCGTAGCTCATCATCACCAGTGTGTGAATGGGTGAATCACTGATTGTGTTGTGAAGCGTCTTGGGGGGTTGTAGAACCCTAAGAAGGCGCTGTACAAATACAGGCTTTGTACCATTCTATTAGAGCAGAAATCAGGAGGTTTTTTTCTCCTTGAAGCTGCTATATCAAATTTTGAAAACAACTTAGCGTAAAACGTTGTTGGTGCATTAATGCTTCTTAACAATGTTCTAACATGTAGCTATAAATACATTGTGCAGATAAAAAAGAAAGTAATGAGGTTGCAATAACACGTTTCGGACCAAAAACACTGGACCATCCAGTTGTAGGTGCCACCGAACATTACACACTCACACGTTTAGCAACAGAACACCACTGGTGTGAGAGGTTCTCCGCTCAACAATTAAGGAGAAACAGCCGGCTGCTACCAGAGTCCCAAAAAGAAAAACACCATTTGAAGTCACAGACAACAAAAGACATTTGGACCTAGAAAACGGCGACTGGTGTTTAGCGCTATCTCGTTTTCCTCCGGCATCCCGGGTCTCCAGTTCCATCAGAAGCTTCTCAGGGAAGATACCCAACATGATGGATGGACGAGTTTTCCGTGATCGTGTTTGCATTCGAAACCCAGTTTGTTTGCGGATTAAATTATAACAGCTTTAAGCCCCTCTCTTCTTGCTGGAAGCAACACCTCTCCTGTAAACACACCTCTAGCACCTCAGTGTTGATGTCTTATGTGCTTTATTAAGATTTTTTTGTAATTTATTGTGTTTCATACTTTTTAATCTTTCTAATTTCATAATCAGCTCTTTGATCAGTGCTCACTGTTTACTGTTTTGTACTTTACTAACAAAGTTGGCTGTAAGAGGTTTTGGTTTCAGATAGAACAGAATAGCTACATAAACAACAACAACAACAATAACACAGCTACGGTTTGGTGAGATTAGATGAGATGTACTGTACTTTACTGACCACAAAGTTGGTAAATAATCAGGCATTTCTGGGACAGATAATAGTCTAAAACAGTGGTTCCCAACTCCTACATTCATATAACCATTGAATGTGGTTATTTACTAACTTCATAGAGTTTTGATTATAATATTTAGTGTGTTTTGGGGATTTTATGAATGCTATTTTTGGGCCTCCCTTTGGGCTGGCGGACCCCAGGTTGGGGGTAGGTTGGTCTAAATGCAGAAGTAAAATAATTCGAAGTGCAGCCATCACACTGGTTAGCTGTGAGAATGAGTCTGTTTTCTTGGTCTCACTTCCTGGAAGGTTTTGAAAGGAAGCAGAGATGTGGAGCCTTCACCACCTGCACTTCATGCTGTACGGTAAGTCGCTGACACAATATTACACAAACTTATGTTTGTTTGCAGAAGATATAAAATACACACTTGACAAGACAAATATTTTTTAAATGCTGTGCAGGAGGAGGCAAATGCCAAAGCGGCTTATCTGAAGCCTCCTCTGAAAAACCTTTACACTGTGAACCCATGTTGAAAATAATCAAATATATTGAGTAGGTGACACTCATAAATAAAAAAAAGTTTTCAGAGCTCAAATGTGTTGGGTTAGTTCAATCTTCTCCTTGTTTTAAGCACATAGAACTCAAACGTTTTAATTAATCTGAAAAAATATATATATTTAGTGAGCTTAACTGAAATAAATAAATAAAGAACATTCTAACTTGAATGAGTAATATGAACAAAAAATAATTATTTATAATTTTATGTTTCTATGTTATTCTATCCATCTGTATGTCAACTTAAAGTGTGTCTAATGAACAGACATATTTTTCTTCAAATATTTGTTGATCTATAGGAAAAAACAAGCACAAACAAGCAATTTTGGTGGATTTCAGGCACAACAAATAACTGGTGGGTGAGGTGCATTGTGGGTAGTTATGTTTTTAGTTATTTTGTTCTGTTTTGGGGTGTTTATGCATGTTTATTGTGGGGCATTGTTGTTCTTAGTTATTACTTCATTCAGTGCTGAAAATGTGGTGTTAATTTTTGTATCATGTTGGCACCATAAGTGAGAAGGTTGGTCAAAGGAATGACCACCCTGTGCCGTTCCACTTTTATTGATACTGTGGTGGTTCACACTTGATGTTCTTGACTTGGCTTTGGATGCTTCACTCACTGGCTGGGTGTGTGAATCATGTGCTGATAGCAACTTGCCTCGGATAGTGTAGTACAACGTTTTTCTGAGTTATGTCAACTTATCAAGTTTGAGTAAAAAATATCAACATCTGAGTATAGTTTCCAAATAATGAGTTGAAAAATGTTGAAAATCTTGAGTGAATTACTCCCTAATTGTAAGTTAAGCAACATCAATGTTTTTTAAGATAACGTTGAGATAATTTAGGGCAAGTACAAATGTTGTTTACATTTTCTGTAAACTTAAAATATTTAAAAACATCGCCTAAATATTTTTATGTAATCTGTTGCAAAATAATTTTTGAGTTCTGTGAACTTATTAAGGTTTACAGTGTAGCTTTACTTTAGTGTCACTGAAAACAGACAAAAACTGACAAATAGTAAGAAATTGTAGTAGAAAAATAAAAACGTGAACTACAACAAAATAAACACAAAACACACTTCCCTGAAAGTGGCAGTAAAGTAAATAAATAAACATTAGACTTGTGCTCTCCCTTCATTAAAGACCCTTTTAAACCGTTTTAGATGTGCGGTGCAATCAGTGGTGAAATGGGGAAAAGTGTTCCACGGGACTCAGCCTCGATAACGGATGGAAAATTCATCTAGACAAGAAAGATTTTTCATTTTATGTGAATGAAAAGGATGAATTAGCTTTAAAGAATTACTAAACTGTTGAGGTATTTTGCCATGAATAAATAAAATCTCATAAATGATGACACATATTTAAAAAATATTTACTTGATAAATAGTGGATATATTTGGTCTCTGAAGTAAAGGAACAGAAGTTGCACGTGGAGCTGACCTAGTAACTATTCTAGGAAAGTGTTTCTGAAGAAGCCGTGTTAATTATGAGGATCTTGATGCACTTATAAATGAATATAAAATAACACAAAAACTTGGTATTGTGTAATTTTATTTAATTTTGTCTCCCCAGTTGCTCTGAGCTGTGTGACCTGTACTGCTGATGTGATCCAAGTGTTTGGATATGAGGGCAGGGATGTTTCTGTCTCCTGCCCTTATGGTGGCGGTTATGAGAAGCATGAAAAGTACCTGTGTAGAAACGAATGTGGTAGCCGTGATGTTCTCATTACCACATCACAAACAAACGAAACCAAATACTCCATCTATGATGACAGAAGATCAAGGATCTTCACAACAACTATCTCAACTTCTCGTTTTACTGATGCTGGTAAATACTGGTGTGGAGTGACCAGGGATTTGAAGGACGTTTATACTGAAGTCCGACTGAAGATAACTCCAGGTATGTGAAGAAAGTTTGAACAAATGTGACCAACCTAATAAGATGGAATAAATAATGAAATAAAATTTAAGATTACAATTAAATAAAACTCTACAATAATTATTGCTGGTGAAAAACATGTAATAGTAAATGGTTGCTGTCTTTTTGAGATTTTATAGAGATTTTTTTAAAGTAGAAAAAAAAGTTTCCGTTATGTGTCAACATCATTTGTTTAACTTAATTCTACCCAAACCACAAGTTGTCCCAAAAAAAGATGAAAGACATATCTGTATATATATATATATATATATATATATATATATATATATATATATATATATATATATATATATATATATATATATATATATATATATATATGTATATATATATATATATATATATATATATATATATATATATGTACATATATATATATATATATATATATATATATATATATATATATATATATGATGCAGAAAATAAGTATTTAGCCAATGAGAAAAGTTCACTTCTGTTATGTAACCTTGGTTAGTGGTTCATCCAAGCGGTCTCTGGCAGGCTTTAGATGGCCCTGGACAAGCAGACGGACCTTTTGAGTGCTGCAGAGTTTTAATCCATAATAATGTGTCTTACTAGTAACCTTTGTTACTGTGATCCCAGCTTTCTTCAGGTCACTGACCAGCTCCCCTTGTGTAGTTCTGGGTGGTTTTCTCACTGTTCTCCAGATCATTTTTGCCCCACGAGGTGAGATGGAGCCCCAGCTGTATTTATTCCATTTCTTGATAATTGCTCCAACAGTTGATCTTTTCTTAACAAGCTGCTCGACTGTTGTAGACTGGCTGATCCCAGTCTTGTGCAGGTCCTTAGACGGCTCTCTGCTCTCGGTCATTGTGGAGGTTGGAGTCTGACTGTTCAAACGGGCACCGTTATTACAGATTACAAGGGTATGAAAGAAGGGCTTAGGAAACAGGTTTGTGCGGGCCCACATTCTTCCTTGTTTGTACTTTTTTTGGACACCATTATACAAAAAAAAATCTTTATAAACTAAACCATAAGATTTCCTGATAAGTTTAACATTCTGTCTCTCACAGTTGAAGTGTACTTAAGATGAACTTTCCAGAGCTCCCATCTTAGTGGGACAACTTGCACAGTTGGTGGCTGCCAAATCTTTTTTGCCCCTCTGTGTTTATATCCTCACAGACAGCTGCTGTAACAGCACGACTCAAATCAAAGCTGACGGAGAAGGTTCAGTGTCCATCAGGTGTCCGTATGAGTCAGAGAATGAAGACAGCCTGAAGTACATCTGCAGAGGGAAGCAGCCCTCCACCTGCCTGCAGCGGGCTCTAATCACCTCCAGCAGGCAGAGCGGACGATTCAGTTTCACTGATGACAAGAAGTCAAGAACATTCACGATCACCATTTACAATCTGACGCTGGAGGATTCTGGGTCGTATCTGTGTGGAGTCCAAAGTGACTCAGGACTGGATGATTTCTCTGCTGTTGAACTGGAGGTCAAAGGTGAGAAGTCAATTGTAGTTTTTGTAAACAAAATACCTTTAGTTACAGTGAGAATCGTTTATTTCATAATGTTTTCTTTTCTTACCCATTAGAATGGTGCTGTGTGATCCCAAAGAACATGACAGGAGTTGTGGGACAATCAGTAACGGTGCAGTGTCCTTATCCACCTGAGGACCATAACAACAGGAAGTTCATCTGCAAAGGAAACAAACACGACTGTAGAGACGTGATGATGATGATGATGATGATGAGCCAAAACAGGTTCATGCTACACGACGAGTCCTCCAGTTCTTTCTCCGTGACCATCACAAACCTGGAAGCCAGTGACACTGGGACGTTCTGGTGTCGCTCTGACTCAGAGTGGAGAGTTGGAAACTACACCCAGTTTCATCTGTCTGTAGGTGAGAGCAGCTCTGGTGCACATTAGAGGATGTGCAGAAATAGTTGTTTGAGCGGAACAAAACCAGCAAACTGTCTCAGTTGTATTTATGAGCTCAGATGTGAGAACATGAAAATATCTTCTGCTTTAAAGACCTGCTCAAATAGAAGATTGTTTCACATGTTATGAAGAAATAGATTAATATCAGAACCAGATCTGTGATCAGAACAAATAGTTTAAAAGCATTAGGATTTCTCCAGAAAATAACTTGTCATGGATACGTCTGAAGGCACAAAAAAGAAATTTGTACAAAACATGTTCACTCGGAGTTAGGGCTGCAGCAACGTATCGGTCAAATCGATCGATTTGTTGTGTTGTGCAACTTTTTTTCGTGTGGTGCAACTTTTACGTGACAGTCAATGTGCGCAGCTCATCTGTATGCGGCAGCTTTAGCTGTTGCTGGAATGACATCACTCTTGTGACCAATCGCTGAAGAGCTTTGATGTACGCCCGCCTACCGCGGGCACCCCATGGCTATATAAGTGGAATGACTCCACTGTTCGTCTCCATTTCATTCTTCATGACCGTTATGCTAAGAGCTCATGTTAAAGAGCGAGTCACCCCTACCATAATCTTACTCAACTCCCCCTTCCTGTTTGAAAAATGCAAGAAATGCTGTTGCCTAGCAGACCAAGAAGGCGGAGCTGCTAACAAATACACACACACAGGCTCACAACGACATTGTGACATCATATGGTACCAGCTAACGTTCTAGGGTACTTCTTAGCCAATAATGATGGCAGATTTAAATTCAAATGCAGTGCAGAGTTTTTACTTGACAACGGCACAACACTGACAGTTTCAGGCAGAACATTTAAATTTTAACTAAAATGCACTAAAGTATAAAACTACTGACTACACGTGTCTGCAGCATGATTAGACACACATTTATATAGTTTATCAGGAAAAATAAGTTGATTTGGGGGTGACTTGCTCTTTAAGTACATGTACAGTGATCCCTCGTTTATCGCGGTAGATGCGTTCCAGACCTGGCCGCGATAGGTGAAAATCCGCGAAGTAGGGACACCATATTTACAGTATTTATTTAACAGGTACATATTCAGTATTCAGACTTTTAAAACCCTCCCTTTACATAGTACTGTATTTTTATTTGTTTTTTTATAGTTTTATTACAAAAAGTGCATTTTATGATGAAATTGATGGAAAAAACAGGAATTTCTTGATATTTCGCATAGAAAAATACCGTGAATCGGTGAAAAATACCGCGAATCGGCGAATTTCCCTTGAATAAGGCTCCAAAGAAAAAATCCGCAAAGTCGTGAATCCGCGATAAACAAACCGCGAAGTAGCGAGGGATCACTGTATTACATTATGATCCTCCATTATGACTGTGTTAGCTTGCTAGCATGTGTGCTAATATGAAAAGGAATTACCTTACCTCAACTTTTGTCCACTTCATGGCTGTGAGCAGCAACCTTCAACATATAAGGTATGTTCCAGAGCTCCGGCCCCATTTATGCAGCTCTTCCATTCAGCTCAAGCACCCTACCGAGTGGACCTATTCATGTCAACTTCTGAGGACATCTCCTGGCGGCTGAGGATTATTCACTGTATGTGGTGGCACTCCAGATGAGGACGATGATGATAGGACTGGCTACAACAGCCCTCCCGTCCCTCCTGGTCTATCTGGAGGTTGACAACGAGGCCTTCAGCCATGTTTTCTATGTTTGCAGTTACCCTTTGCTGGATAAATTATTGCTCAAGTGTTAACTAGGTTCTAAGAATTGGGGAAGAAGTATGCTGTTGATCTAAGATGTGCGTGATGGCCGAGGTTGTAGATTGCAGCTGCAGAAAATTCTTAACTTATACTTAGTTCAAAAGGAACGTTTAGAAAAAGATACAGGAAGTACTTTAACCACTGAACTGCGTGTGTAGGAGCATGGGAACAACTAAAACATGCTATATGGTGGCACTTGAGGAGGGTTACCCACTTCTGCTGTACAATGTTTCACATGAATCTATTGAGTGTGTTTCTAAATCACTAATCCATCATGTCAGTTATCATTAGTTATTATGTTAAATGTGATTCTCTCTTCTATCTTTCAGTTTCCCCACCGCTTCCTGAGACAGGTATTAATGGTGAAGTGTGTGTGTGTGTGTGTGTGTGTGTGTGTGTGTGTGTGTGTGTGTGTGTGTGTGTGTGTGTGTGTGTGTGTGTGTGTGTGTGTGTGTGTGTGTGTGTGTGTGTGTGTGTTCGTATAAGACTAAAACCAGAGTGTTCTGCTTCTGCTTGTATCTCTATTATTAAACGCTGACATATCTATAAAAATGTTTAATTGCATGTGCGTGTGTGTGCGTGTGTGTGTGCCTTTTTATTCTTTTAAATGGTTTCCAGGTGCTGTTTTTTATGTGCTTCTTTCTACACCTGCTGCTCTTCTGCTGATACCGGTTGTGGTCGTTCTGGTTATGGTCTGCAAACACCGATGCTCCAAAGTGAAAGGTGACTTTTATGTTTTCTCAGCCTTCAAGTCATACAGGAACCAACAGGAGATGACATCGTTGATATGTTCCTATCTGCTTTTTTACGTTTCTAGAACCAGAAGTCATCGTGGACAGAAACAACATTGAGGCTGAAAACAATCATGAACAGGTGAGAAACTGAGGTGATATTAACAAACTCTGCTTGGTCAGATGATTTAAAATATCTGACACCTATATTTTACCATAGCACTTTTTTTATAAAGTGCTTATAACAAGGCATTACAGCCAACGAAAGAGCAGCACATAATAAAATACACAAAGCATAAAACAGTTGCATTTAAACTATATAAAAATTATACAACAAAATACAGTTAATCAAGCAAGCTGGAACCAATAAAAACAGACTGCGGATTTTAAATTAAAGAACCAAAGTGGAAGGGGGATAATGAGGAGTATTGCTTTAAGAATCGAAGGCCCATCTTCAAAACGGGGTCCATTTTACTCCCAGGTTTGAAGTCTAGGATGTTACATGAGGAGAAAGAGTGGAGGCCAGGTGACTGGGTCGCTCTAATGTTGTTGGGACTAAAAACATTGACCTCCGTTTTAATAATAATAATAATAATACATTTTATTTCAAAGCGCCTTTCAGGACACCCAAGGTCACTTTACACAACACACGTAATAAAATACAATAAAACAATAATAAAACCCAAAGAAGAAAAAACAGAGAGAAACATTTCAATAAAATCAGAGGTTGTAGGCAGATTTAAACATGTGTGTTTTGAGTTTTGATTGGAAAAGGGTAAAACTGTCGATGTTCCTGATGTCTGGGGGAAGTGAGTTCCAGAGTCGAGGAGCAGAGCGGCTGAAAGCTCTGCTCCCCATGGTAGCGAGACGGGCAGAAGGAACCGCAAGATGGATGGAAGAAGAAGATCTGAGTGAACGGGACGGGGTGTGAATACTTATAAGGTCTGAGATATATGGAGGAGAGAGGTTGTGGATTGCTTTGAAGGTATGGAGGAGAATTTTGAAGATGGGCCTGAATTTAACTGGGAGCCAGTGGAGCTGCTGGAGAACCGGCGTGATGTGGTGAAAGGAAGGGGTTCTGGTGATAATACGGGCTGCTGAATTCTGGACCAGTTGCAGTTTATGAAGGAGTTTGTTGGGGAGACCATAAAGAAGTGAATTGCAATAGTCGAGACGGGAGGTGACGAGGCTGTGGACGAGAATGGCGGCAGTGTGAGGGGTCAGTGAGGGACGAAGACGGTTTATGGAACGTAGATGGAAGTATGCTGACCGAATTAAGTTATTAATGTGAGCCTGAAAAGAAAGGGAGCTGTCGAGAATGACACCCAGACTCTTGACATGAGGTGAGGGGGAGACTGTGGCACTGTCAATAGTTAAAGAAAAGCTGTCAGATGTTGAGAGGGTGGAGTTAGTGCCAACTAGAAGAAGTTCAGTTTTATTGCCGTTGAGTTTGAGGAAATTAGAGGTGAACCATGATTTGATTTCAGAGAGGCAGAGTGTAAGGGAGGATGGTGGGAGAGTTGAGTTGGGCTTACTGGAAATGTAGAGCTGGGTGTCATCTGCAAAGCAGTGAAACTGGATATTGAATTTGCGGAAGATTTTGCCGATAGGGAGGAGATATACTATGAAGAGGAGGGGCCCCAGGACAGAGCCCTGGGGCACACCTGACTTGACTGGGGAGGGTTCTGAGGTAAAGGATTTTAACTGGATGAACTGAGTGCGGCCAGTAATGTAAGATTGAAACCAGCGGAGGGGGGTGTGAGTGATGCCTAAGGAATAGAGTCTATTAAGGAGGATGGGATGAGAAATGGTGTCAAAGGCCGCACTCAGATCGAGGAGAATAAGAATAGAGATTAAACCAGAATCAGCAGCAATGAGTAGGCCGTTAGTGATCTTAATAAGTGCTGTTTCTGTGCTGTGGTGGGGACGGAAGCCAGACTGAAACTGTTCATAAAGGTTATTGCGGGTGAGATGTGAATGGAGCTGAGATGCAACAGTTTTCTCAAGGACTTTGGAAATGAAGGGAAGATGGGAAATGGGACGGAGGTTATTGAAATCATTGGGATCTAAACCAGGTTTTTTTAGAATAGGGCTGACTGAAGCGGATTTGAATAGGGATGGGACCGTACCAGAGGATAGTGAGGAATGAATAATGGCTGTTATAAAAGGGAGCAGAGAAGAAAGGCAGGATTTAACTAAAACAGTTGGAATAGGGTCCAGTTGACAGGTGGAAGGTTTGGATTTGGTGATGTAATCTAATATTTCTGAGGGATGGGGAAGTTCAAAGGAGGAGAACGGAATGGTGGGTTCAAATAAATCAGGAGAGGGAGGGGAGGAATGAGGTAAAGAGAGATGGATTCTATTGACCTTCTCATTAAAAAACTGAAGGAGAGAGTTACAGGTTTCTGAAGAGTAAAGATGGATGGGTAAGGAGTCGGGAGGCTGAAAAATGCTGTTCATGATGGAAAATAATGTTTTAGTGTTGCTGGAGTTGGACGAGATGAGACCGGAGTAATACTGAGATTTGGCATGGGAGATGGAGTCCTTGTAGAGAGAAATCTGAGCAGAATATAAGTCTTTATGGATGGTGAGACCGGTTTTCTTGTAGAGTCTTTCAAGCCTCCGGTTGGTAGCTTTCAAGGAGCGAAGGGCAGGGGTGAACCATGGAGCAGACCGAGTAAAATATACAGAGCGGGATTTGATGGGAGCAAATGAATTAAGGATAGAAACCAGACCGTTATTGTACTGAATGACAAGATCATCGGGAGTAGAGGACAAATTAGGGGTCAAGGTGGCAAAACTGGAGGACAGGGAGGCTAGATCAATGTCCTTAATATTACGAAAAGAAATGATACGTGGTGACTTGATGATGGAGAGACGGAGGGGAACAGAAAAGGAGATGAGGAAGTGGTCCGTGAAAGGGAGCGGGTCAGCTGTACAGTTGGAGGGGGTCAGGCCGGAGCAGCAGATTAAATCCAGGGTGTGACCTTTAATGTGAGTGGGAAAATTGGCATATTGATGAAAACTGAGGCTGTCCAAAGATGAGGAGAAGTCTTTGCTGAGGGGGAGGGCCATATTGTCCATATGAATATTAAAATCACCAAGTAAAATTACATTTGGGGAAAGGGCGGACAGATGGGATAAAAGAGCAGAGAGTTCATTTAAAAACTCAGGGCTGAACTTGGGGGGACGATAAACAGTGACAATTATTGTGGGGGTCGGGCCGGAGAGTTGACAGGCGAGGCATTCCAGAGTGGTGAGAGGAGGAAGGTTTACGGGAAGGACCTTCCAAGTCTCGCGATACAGTATCGCGAGACCACCGCCGCGGCCCGACCCACGGGGTTTGGAGAGGTAAACAAATCCGGGAGGAGTACAGTCATTGAGTTGTGAGAAATCGCTGGGTTGTTGCCATGTTTCGTTCAGACAAAGAAAGTCTAGCTTATGGTCACTGATGGTATCTTGGAGGAGATGTCCTTTACCAGAGAGGGAGCGAATGTTGAGAAGACCAAAATTAGCAGTGCGGAAGTCCCTGGCGACAGGAGCATTAGCCCGACTAGCCAGCCGGGCTAACACGCTGGAGTCGGCAGCTCGGCAGGTATTCCTGGGTAGCCGCCGGCTAGTCGTGGACCAGAAGGAGGGTATTCCTTTGGAGCCGTCGAGATGGAGGTTCCGCCGGGACCCCCGATGGATATACCGACGGCGAGGCTGGAAGGTGATGTCGGGGAAGAGGCACAGAGCTGGTGGTGGAGATCCGGAGTAGCGAAAGCGGAGGTTGAAGAGCTCCGCCGCCGAGTACTGGAGAAGGCCATCCACGGACAGAAGAATGAGCGACAGGATGATCCAGGCCAGTGCGAGGCACACAGAAATCCTGCTGGACCACATTATGGAGTGGAGCAGGGAGGTGGTGATGTGCAACCAGAACGCAAGCTGAGCAGGTAGGTGAAAATGAGTTTTCACCGACACAGGGATGTGACCAGGGTGAAAAAGAAGAAAAAAAAATACAAAAAGTTTGTTTGCCAGCGAGCAGCGGCAGCGAGACGCGCCAGCGTTCACTCAACCGGAACCGGTTTAGAGTTTTAGAGTCATTCAGATGGAAAAAAGTTTTCAGCCAGCCATTCCTTCACATCATGAAGACAATCAAAGATGCTTAGTGGAGTTGGTGGGTTTAAGAGAAAATAGATCTGGCAGTCGTCTGCATATACATGGTATGAAGTAGCATGCTGTCTGAGAATGGCTCCTGAAGGCAGAATATTGAAGGAAAACAGTAACAGGCCAAGAATGAAACCTGGAGGGACCCGCCAGGGATGGGACACCAACTGGGATGAGTAGTGGTCCAGCATGACCCTGATGGTCCTGTTAAAAAAGTACAACCGGTTCCAGTCAAAAGCCAAACCTGAGATGCCATCCCTTGTTTGTAGTCCGGAGATCAGGATGTTATTATCGATCATATCAAAGGCTGCTGATAGATCAAGAACATGGGACCCTAAATCCAAAGCCATAATGATGTAATTAAAACACACTTAAGAGCAGTTTCTGTGCTATATGATGTCATCTAAACCCAGACTGAAAAATGTCCATTACTTGATGGTCATTTGATAAAAAAGGTCATTTGGAAAATAGTCGGAGATTGGAGAAAACAGCGCGATCAAGACCAGGTTTTTTCAAAATCGGCTGAACAACAGCGTGTTTGAAGGTACAAGGAACTTCAGCCAAGGTCAAGCTACCATTAATAATGTCCAGTACATCGTGGCCAACCACAGGCAACACATCTTTCAGTAGTCTAATGAGCTTTGAAAGAAAAGCGTCTGGACTTCTTTGAGTTGCTTGAAGACGTTTCACCTCTCATCCGAGAGGCTTCTTCAGTTCTAAGGTCAAATGGTGGAGAGTCCCAGATTTAAACCCAGTGGGAGTTTTCCCCCGAAGAGGGAACAAAAGACCCCCTGATGATCTTCTACATAAACACATGAGCCAAGTTGTGAGGGTGGGTGTGGGTCCTATTCAGCCAGAGTTTTGGGTGAGCTCATTGTGAAACCTGGCCCCACCCTATCATGTGAATTCCTGAGGTCAGATGGCCCAGGATATGCGTGGGCGTTGAGGCATCTGGGAAGGGATCTCAAAACTGGATTATAGATGGCAGACAGTTGGTGTCGTAAACCACCGCCTCTGTTCAAAGATGGTTGCTCACAGTGGACATAAATGGCTTCCTTTACTCCTCTTTCAAACCATCTGTCCTCTCTGTCCAAAATGTAAACGTTGGCATCTTCGAAAGATATCCTGGGCCATCTGACCTCAGGAATTCACCGTGAACATGAAACAGCCTGCTCAACCCGAGCAGCTCTCTTTTTCTGTGATTTTACAGAAAAACAGGCAATCACAGTAAAAATGCCAGGGCTCATTCTACAGGACCAGGGCATTGCAGGAGAATGTATGAAGAAGAAATGTATTATTTCTAAACATGTTTTGGCTGTCAAACTTCCATAATGCCCCTTTAAATATGTCTTTTGCTACTTTTTTATATTTTAAAATCATTTTCTTGAGCCAGTATGTGCTAAAATGACCCTTTACAGGGTTAATGAAATTCCACACAGGCCCGATCGCCCCATGGCCAGAATGTATAATACAACCTATCCAGATGTCTGACAGCATACACGTTACGCCAAAAATACAAACAGATGTTAGGTTATTAGAGTATGGCAGTAACATAGACCCTGATTATAATTTCTTTAACTACAAAGCACTGATGAATCTTTTATTAGGACGATTGTTACTACTCAGGGTTCATCTGCACTGTGAATGTTTACATGGTGTTCAGTAAAAACATGGAAACATATAATTATTTGTGTGATATTAGTTTAGGCAGACTGTGGCTGTCTGTGATGAAGATTAGATCAAATTTAATAACCAAATTAGTGTAGAAATCCATGTAATTCAAAGGGGTTCACATACTTTTTCTGGCAACTACATGTATTGTACCGAGCAACGTTCAGTTATGCGTATAATCACTGTTCAGCGAAGAAGAGGAACAAGGTACAAGACCTTTGTAGCCCCGCTGAGCTCAGTGAAGAGCGGTCTTCAAACACGACTTCACGTGTGAGTAGGCGTGGCCTTTCCCCTACGTGACGTTACATAATACATCATGTGACTGAAGGTGTGTTCAGTTAGACCACGCAGGGGCATGATATCCCACTGTGTTGTACCTCGTTCCTCTTCTTCAGGGAAATATAGTTACATAACTTGATGTTTAAACTATAATAATGAACGTCCTTTAAATTACTTCCTTTTCTACGTTTTTTTTTTCAGGTGTATGGAAATGATGGTTTTCTTATTATGCTGCAGAGAAACACCAAACAGCAGAATCCTTATCAAGAGGAAGATGAAAGTGAAGCAGATTATGAAAACATCACAAGAACACTGGACCCCTAATGGAATGGAGACTTCTATTATCCCAACAGGAGATGAAGAGCTTGGAACCACTGTTTTACACACACACACACACACACACACACACACACACACACACACACACACACACACACACACACGCATTCTTGTACTTACTACATACTGAGGACCAAGTAAAATTACTCACAAACTGAGGCCCACCATTTGTGATGTACTTAGAGACACAAAAAGATGATTTCTGGACACTGGGTGTAAAAACCAACCTAAACACTCCTTTAGATATTGCAATATTGCCATTTTTCAAAAAAAGTTTTTAACCAGCATACTGAGGACCAATTGCTCAGCTGACACCCCCCCCCCCCCCCCTAAAGTTATGAAATAATAACTGTTGATCTCATATTTTGGAGCAAAAAAACATGTCTGATATGTTTTTAATATATATACTGTGAGGATTAAATTAATGTTATAAGCAAGCAGAAGCCCACTTTTAGTTTTTAGAGAAAATGGTCAATTTACTAAAACACAATAAGGTAACTTCAGTTGTGTGGTTCTTTGATAAAGTCAAACTTACAAGTTAATATATTTTTAAATAATTTGATTCCATAGCATTTTAACACATTTTTATTATATAAACAGAAGCCTTACAGCTTTTTAAACATTAACGTTTGTGTAAGTGTCGAGAAACTTAGAAATGCCTTAATGTTTTAGTGATTTTGCAATCTTTATCATTTCATTATACACAATATTTCACATCTTTCCAGGTTCTCTTTTGGAGAACAGGAGAGGATTTTTCAATGCATAGGAGACAGTCTTTTTTCCTGGCACCTTCCGCAAAAACAGCCAAGTGTCGCTTAACTGCCAGCTTCTCCTGCTCATTCCATGGGGTCTTCCCTTTAATTTGCAAATGACCTACAAAAAAGAAGATACATCTTTAATTGATGCTGCCTTTTTTTTGTTGCCCTCAATTTCTTTATGATTTTACTGTATGTCATGTTAAGATTAACATGACATACAGCTAAACGCAATTTCTCAAAATTACAAGTATATATATATATATATATATATTTTCATCTGACTTTAACACAATTCAATATTTTTCTTCACTATTGTGAGAATACGAAACCCTCATAAATGCATTAAAGGCTTTAATGTTTCAGGCCTTAAGTGTCTCAGAAAATATAAAATATGCAAGATAAAAGATAAATGACCCACACTTGTATAGTGCCTTTCTTAGTCAGAGAACTCCAAAGTGCTTTAAACTACAGTGTATCATTCATCCATTCACGCACACATTCACACACTAGTAGTGATGAGCTACGATGTAGCCACAGCTGCCCTGGGGCACACTGAGAGACGCAAGGCTGCTAAGCACAGGCGCCACCAGTTCGTCCGACCACCACCAGCAGGCAAAGTGGGTTAAGTGTCTTGCCCAAGGACACAACAGCAGTATTGTTTGGTCAGAGCCAGGATAGCACCTGCAACCTTCAGATTACTGGACAACTCACTCAACTTCCTGAGCTACTGCTGCCCCTATAAGAGAGAAACATTCAAATTAAAAAGTCTTCTATGCATCAATACTTGTCTTGGCCTCATTTTGCTTGAATTCATGCAGCAATGCAGCTTTAAAGAATTCCTAATCCAGACACAATGATTGGACAACATTGTGGTCCCTGTTCAAAGCTCAAGATTCTGCTTACAGGTCAGGTAACTGGCTGGTTTTTAATTTGACATCTCAATAAAGGATATTGAAAAGAGGTTGTTTAAGGCACATAATTACTTAAACCAAACAATAACAGAAAATGTTTTGATAATTTTATTTCATGTTTGTAGTGTTTACAGAGGCAATTGAGACCTCAAATCCAATTTAAATAGCCAATTTCGACTTATGAAAGTCCTCAAGTTGACTTTTGTTTTAAACTACCACTATACAAACAAATTTATTTGTACGAACCGCATTGAGCAGGATCAGCAGCAGCCACTCCATGCTTGGTTTTCATTTTCTTTCTTTGGACCGGGCTTGTGGAAGAAATCCCAAAAGGCTTTGCTTCATCTGAAAAGCACAAAACCATGATATAGAAATTGTTCAGAAAGAAGCCAGAGCACATTATCTGCATTCCCAAAGACTGGACTTACACTCATCTCCGTCACTGTCCTCGTTGAGAGTTGTAATAGAGTTTTGTCCTTTGCCATGTTTCTCTTCCACAGACAAGTTCAGCAATCCCCTGTCTAATTAAAAAGTTTAAATCAATACATGTGAATCAGCATAGTTAATATCAGTCTTGGCCAAATTTCCAAAGTCTGCCATAACATACCACCATCATTGTCTGCATGTCTTTTTTGGGCTTTTCTTCTTTTGACAAGTTTCTTTGATAAACATGTGGGTTGCAACTCTCCATCTAAGGAACAATAAAATTTATTTAAGTAAAGTATTTGAATTTTCAGCTAAAAAGCCTAACGCTGGTGAAGGTTTACATGCATACAGTTGCATGAAAATTGGAATTATGTGAATTCCAGCACAAATTGATCATAAAATATGATCTGAACTTAATCTAAGGCACAATAATAGACAGTCACAATCACAGTATGCTAAAACTAAAACCACACAAGTAATTGTTTCCATGTTTTTATTGAACACAACATGTAAACATTCACTGTGCAGGTGGAAAAAGTATGTGAACCCCTAGACTAATGACATCCAATAGCTAAATGGAGTCAGGTGTCACCCAACTGGAGTCCCATCAATGAGATGACATTGGAGGTGTTGTTTAAAGCTGACCTGCCCTATAAAAAACTCACCAGTTATGAGTTTGCTTTTCTCAAGAAGCATTGCATTATGTGAACAATGCATCACACAAAATAGCCCAGAAGACCTAAAATTAAGAGTTTTTAACTTGCATAAAACTGGTAAGGGTCATAAAAGTATGTACAAAACATTGATGTTTATAAATTGAGAAGTTCAGCACTGCTGCTATTGTCCCTAGGAGTGGCCGTCCTGTCAATGTGGCACAGAATAATCCTCTAGTGTAAAGACTAACAAAATCGGTGGCATTTGCCAACATTGGCAAATGTACGATACATAAACACTCAAGAGTTCATGGGAAGCCACTGCTGTCCCAAAAAAATGTAGCTGCATCTTTAAAGTTTGCAAAAAAGCACCTGGATGTTCCACAGCAGCACTGGAAAATATTCTGTGGAAATATTGAGTTGTTGAGTTGTGGAAGAGCCACACAACAGTATGTGTGGATAAAAAGAGACATGGCACACCAACAAGAAAACCTCATTCCAACTGTGAATTATGGTGGAAGGGGCATCATGGCTTGGGGATGCTTTGCGGCATCAGGGCCTGGACAGATTTCTATCATCGAAGGCAAAGTTAATTCCTAAGTTTATCAAGACATTTTAACGTTAACTTTTTGCAGGAGATCTTAGAGCCATCTGTCCACCAGCTGAAGGTCAACAGACGGAGTGACACAACTGGACAATGGCCCAAAGCATAGAAGTAAATCAACAAAATGGCTTAAACAGAAGAAAATACACCTTCTGGAGTGGCCCAGTCAGAGTCCTAACCTCAACCCGAATGAGATGCAGTGGCATGACTTCCAGAAAACATTCACACCAGACATCCCAAGAATATTGCTGAACTGAAACAGTTCTGTAAAGAGGAATGGTCAAGAATAACTGATCGTTATGCAGGTCTGATCTGCAACTACAGAAAATGTTTGGTTAAAATTATTGCTGCCCAAGGAGGTTAGGGTTTAGGAGGTTATGAGTTATTAAAACCAAGAGTTCACATACTTTTTCCACCTGCACTGTGAATGTTTACATGATGTGTTTAATAAAAACATGGAAACACAATTGTATGTGTGATATAATAGGGTATTTCCATTGCCGGGTCTGGAACGGTCAGGTCTGGTTATTTATGGACTGGTGTGTTCTGGTATGGGTCTGCTCTGGCGGTCCAGCCTAGCTTTAAATTCTTCATCTTGGCACAATACTGTGCCGAAGTCCACTCTGATCCTTTGGCTTCCATCCGCTGATAACCCACAAAAAAAAAAACAACCCTTTCTTACCTTTCAATCTAGCTCTTCCTGTGGACTGTCACGATGTCGGTGAGAAATGTATGGAACTCTGTAGGTGACCATATAGAACTATGAATGTGACCAAAACTTGCCACTTGCTGGAATTTTTTTCACATTCATGTACAGCTAACAAAAATACAAACAACGGAACTCCGTTTGTGTTGCTTGCTGCAATTTGTGAGTAATTTCTGTCAGCCAATCAGTGGCCTGTGTTGTTGCTCTGTCCTAACCATACCGCTCCAGAAATTTCTGGGCCTACAAGAGAAGGAAGCCCAAAAAGTCCAGTGACTGGCGTGGTACAAGTAAGTTGTCTAGACAGAACAATCGGAACAGCAAATTTAGCGACCCGATCCGTCCCATTCCATGCTAAAACGGTCTATGGAAATGAGCTATTCATTTAAGCAGACTGTGATTGTCTATTGTTGTGACTTAGATGAAGATCAGATCACATTTTATGACCAATTTGTTCCAAAAATATAATTCCAAATAGTTCACTTACTTTTTCTTGAAACTGTAAGTCATGTTAATATTAGTGTGTTTGAATGAAGACAACTGCATTTTGGTTGCCTTAAAATGTTTCCTTCTTACTCGAGGAGCAGAACTGAAACATTGAATAACAAGTGAAACCTCTTCAGAAAACCAAAGAAGTCAGTTGGTATTCATTCAAAGTAACTAAGAAGCTCAATAATCAACTGTACTGGCATTTACCATGAATATCACAGTCGTCTTCCAAATCGCCATCAGAATCTTGGATAGCTGCAGTCAACGTTTGGTTTTCAGTTTCACTTGTTGAGTGAGCTGAGAGCCTCCGGTCTTCATCTGAAAACAATACAAAATAAACAGTCCAAAACTCAGAGAATCTTAGTGCCAGTTTATGCTAGTGCCTGTATTTACCTGTAGCAGAACTGCTCTTAATCTCTCTGTCCCATCTTATGACAAGTCTCTAAAATAAGTAAAATTTTCCAGTGCAGAGTGGAGACAACCCATAGCAGCACTGATTTGATCTCATTTCAGAGAAAAATAGAACAGGTTAGATGCACCTAATAAATAAAATTACTAACAAACTCAGGAATCTTTCTTTGCTTCACTGTTCTGGTAATGAGAATATCACTTATGCGGATCAAAGGAGATACACAGGTGAATGCACCTCTTATTTATTATTTGGAAACTACATTTACTGCAGCTGGCAGAGACAGAGATTTTTTCTATTGGTACACGGAATTTACAGAATCATTTTAAATTTTAATAGGGGAAGACTGCAGGAGGGAGCGGTAAAATACAGGGGGTCCCCAGCAAAATCAAGAAACTTCGAGTCTGATGAAACCCACTGGTTTTCCATCAGGCAGTCACGGGGCAGCTCCAACGACCCAGTGGCTGTGCTGGGTCAATGTTATCGAGCTCAGTCCGGCTCGGCCGTGAACGAGCCGAGGCGATGTCGTGCTCTGCTTCAGAAGAGGTGTTATTTTCCTGCTTCAGAAGAAGCGTCCGTGTTTTTACGCTTTCTCCGAGACATGTCACGTCGCTAAGTTGTTAGCGCTGCCTGCTAACATGTCAATAGTGCAGCGTAGCCTGCTGGAGGTTTTAAGGGTTCAGATAAAACACCCGACCTCTCAGGCTGCTCACACATCGATCTTAAGTTGTCGCTGTTGCGTTGTCACGCCGTAATACAGTATTAGATGCGGTTAAAGTCAGACATGAAAAAATAAATAAATTTTACATGAATAAGTGATGCTTAGCCTGGTGGGGGGAGGAAAACCTGGCCTAATAAGCACTGGAGGAAACCCTGTCAAGATCATCAACACTCATTTATCTTAATGCTATTGAAACATGTAAACCAAAAAGCATTATATCCACTGCTACCTTTCTAATTTTAAACTCAGTAACTTATGCTGTAACTTCACCTTGCCCTGCCTGCTCCTTGCTGCCGCCGGCTGTGATCACAAGCGACAACATAGTAGTTCCCGCTGCTTCTTTGGGAAACAGCGCAAAAAAAACAAACAAAAAAAAAACAACAACTTGGGATCTTGTAGGCGTGGCGGTGGGATTTCAGCCGTGGCGGGCCGCCACAGCTACGCCTATGTAAGGGAAACCCTGATGAGGCTGCAAGGAAAGGAGCCACATCCAAATACCTACGAGTAAGACAAATCCCAAGAAGTCAGCTCCATGGCGAGAACAATATTCTGGCAATCAACTTCTACATCCTGCCAGTAATCAAATATACTGCATGAATAATAAACTGGCCGAAGGAAGGAATTCAGATCAGATGTTAAAGGCATGAAAGTTCCTAACAATGCATGGAGGGTTCCATCCCAATGCATGGAGGGTTCCATCCCAAGTCCAGCACCCTGACACTGTACACCAGCCTTAAGGAAGGAGGCCAAGAACTAGAAAGTGTGAGAGCCACTGACCAGGATGAGAAAGATTCATAAGTACAAGGATAAGGCCCCAACAGATGATGTTGTCAGTCAATGTGTCAGACAATGACGAACAGAGTAGGAGGTGCTTGAAATACTGTCTTGTGAGGAAAAACCCCTACATTGACAGATAACTGAAGTGGTTGATGAAGAAATCATACTAATGGCTAGAAAGAGCTGGTCTGAATTATAGTACGAAGGCACTTATCATGGCTGCACAGCAGCAGGCCCTGCACACCAGAGCAACAGATGCCAAGATCTACCACACCAGACAAGACTCAATGTGTAGGCTATGCAAAGAGGCCCATGAGTCAATCCACCAAATAACTGCAGGGTTTAGGATGCTGGCAGGGAAAGCATACATGGAACAACACAACCAATTGTACAGGAACATCTGTGCAGAGTATGGACAGGAAGGCCCATGGTCAAAGTGGAAAACACCCCCAAAGGTTGTAGAGAATGAACGAGCAAAGCTCCAGTGTGACTTCCAGATGCAGACCGAAAAAATGGTGATGGCGAAACAACCACACATTTTGATGGTGGGCAAACAACAGAGGACAGCGGTTGAGGTTTATGTAGCAATACGAAGTGATAGAAAAATCAAGAAAAAGGAACACAAGAAACTAGAAAAGTACCAGAACTTCAAACCCTTTGCCTTCAGAACTGCCTTAATCCTTCATGGCATAGAATCAACAAGGTACTGGAGTTTTTCCTGAGATTTGGTCCATACTAACATGGTAGCATCACACAATTGCTGCAGATTTGTCACCTGCACATCCATGATGCAAATCTCCCATTTCTCCACATCCCCAAGGGTGCTTTGGATTGAGATCTGGTGACTGTGGAGGCCATTTGAGTACACTGAACTCATTGTCATGTTGAACAAACCAGTTTAAGATTATTCAAACTTTATGACATGGTGCATGGCCCTGCTCGAAGTAGCCATCAGAAGATGGGTACACTGTGGTCATAAAGGGATGGACCTGTTCAGCAATAACACTCAGGTAGGCTGTGGCATTGCAACAATGACTATTAAGTACTAAGGGGCCCAAAGTGTTCCAAGAAAATGTGCCCCACACTATTATACCACCACCAATAGCCTGAACCATTGATACAAGGCAGGATGGATCCATGCTTTCATATATTGATGCCATATTCTGACTCTACCATCCGAATGTCTCAGCAGAAATCAACACTCATCAGACCAGTCAACATTTTCCCAATCTTCTACTGTCCAATGTTGTTGAGCCTGGGTGAACTGGAGTGGCACCCAGGTGGTCTTCTGTTGCTGTAACACATGTGCCTCAAGGTTTGACATGTTGTGCATTGAGAGATGCTCTTCTGCATAACTTGGTTGTAATGAGTGGTTATTTGAGTTACTGTTGCCTTTCAATCAGCTTGAACCAGTCTGGTCTGGCCATTCTCCTCTGACCCCTGGCATCAACAAGGTATTTTTACTCAAAGAACTGCCGCTCACTGGATGTTTTCCCTTTTTCAGACCATTCTCTGTAAACCCTTAATATAGTTGAGTGTGACAATCCAAGAAACTCAGCATTTTATTAAATACAGTATTTTCCGCACAATAAGGCACTATTAAAAACCTTTGCTCTTCCCCTGAACCAGCAGTGCACCTTTTAATACGGATGCACCTTATATACATGTATTATGGACATAAGTGAAGCCAGCCACACCTGCGTCCGCAGGAAAACAAAGAGCAGTAGCACCGCCCACCCTCACCAAAATAAAAGGTGTGGCACTGCTCCACACAGGTACACCGGTAACCAGCTATGGCACCAGCGAAGAGACACGCTAATGAGGCAGGGTTCAAGCTCAGAGCCATCGTTCACGCCGTTGAGCATGGAAACAGAGCAGCAGCAAGGGAATACAACATTGACGAGTCGATGGTCTGCAAGTGGAGAAAGTTGAAAGACCAGCTGCTACAGGTGAAGAAAACAGCGTAGCTTCAGAGGCAACAAGGCAAGATGGCCACTGCTTGAAGACCAAGTTGAGCAGTGGGTCGCAAAGCAGCGAGCAGAAGCGTCTCCACCGTCTCCATTCGTCTCACAGCTGCGGCATTAGCAGGAGAGATGGACATTGTGGACTTCATAGGAGAACCTTCCTGGTGTTTTTGCTTCATGCGGAGGCGAGCACTTTCTATCCGCACCAGAACTACCGTCTCATAGAGGGTACCTGCCGACTACGCTGAGAAGCTAGAGTTGTTCCACGCCTATTGCACTAAGAAGATGTCAGACAAAAACATCCAGCCCCAGTACATCATCAACATGGACGAGGTCCCGCTTACCTTCGACATCCCGATGAACCGGACCGTGGAGAAAATGGGGAACAGCACGGTGTCTGTGGGGACGACCGGCCACAAGAAGTCCTGCTTCACCGTCATGCTCGAATGCCAGGCTAATGGCCAGAAGCTGCAGCTGATGGTCATTTTCAAGCGGAAAACTTTACCCAAAGAAAAGTTTCCCACCGGCGTGATCATCAAGGCGAACCCGAAGGGTTGGATGGATGAGGACTTGATGGCGGCGTGGCTGCGGGAGGTGTACACCAAAAGACGGGACGGCTTCTTCCACACTTCTCCAGCCATGCTGATCTGCGACTTCATGCGGACCCATCTCACCGACGCCGTTAAAATCCAGGTGAAGAGGATGAACACGGAGCTTGCCATCATACCGGGTGGATTAACCAAAGAACTCCAGCCGCTGGACATCGGGGTGAACCGGTCCTTCAAAGCGAAAGTCCGAGCAGAGTGGGAGCGCTGGATGACTGATGGCGAACACACGTTCACCAAGACGGGCAGGTAGAGCCGATCGACTTATGCCACCATCTGTGAGTGGATCGCTGATGCCTGGGCCAACGTTTCCGTCCAGACTGTTGTTCGAGCTTTCACCAAGGCCGGGATCACAACGGGAGAGCCAAGCAACGACAGTGACATTGACTCTGACGCTGGGTCCAGTGCTGGATCAGCTCTTCATGTCAGACGTGGAGAATGAGGATTTTGAGGGATTTATGGACGAGGAATGAAAAAAAAAATGTGAGTACCATACTTTTTTCTGATCTGAACGGGCAACAGCGCTCTGTATGAAACTGGGACTTTGAATATGTTTATATTAAACATAAGCAAACAGTTGTGTTGCCGCTGTCTGAATGCGCATCATTGCTCCAGCTGTGCCTGCATGTAAAAATGGGACTTTTGTTTGTTAAACAGCCTTACGTCTGATTGTTTATTCTTGCTGCTTAAAGCATCCATGCAAAAAATGACACTGAAAATTACGAAATTGTTATTTTTACTGTGAATGAGAGGAATAAACTTTGATTTTGATTTAACTCCTTCGTTTGGCTTATTGTACCAATTATGCACTACTAGGTGGAGTGTTCAGTCAGTCATGTCGTTACCAAATCTTCATTCTTGCTGCTAAAAGCACCCTTGCATTAAATTGGGACTAAATGTTACTTTAATAATGAGAAATTTATTTTTTAGCATAGATAATGAGTGGAGTAATGTTTGACTTAGATCTAATTGCCCAAATTGTCTTAAGTGTGCGCTCGTTTGCTTTGCTGGGTGCGCCCTATAATCAGGTAGGCCTTATGTGCAGACCAAACCTTTAACTAGGACACTGATTGGCTGTGCGCCTTATAATCAGGTGAGCCTTATGGTGTGGAAAATACGGTACTCAGACTAGCCCATCTGGCACAGACAGCCATGCCAGATTAAAAGTCAATTAATAACCTTTCTTCCTAATTTTAAATCTCTGTTAAAACTGCTGCGAATCGTCTTGATCATATCAACATGCCTAAATGCATTGAGTTGCCACCATGTGATTGGAAGATTAGAAATTTGCTTTAATGCGTTAAGTGGCCAAGGACTGTACATCACACTGACATGGCATTCATGGAGTTAGTCATCTTCATTCACGATGGGGAAGGTTGTTGTTTTATTGTTTGGTAATCAACAGCAGACGTCATAGCTAGTAGAAGTTAACCGTTAGCAATAGCAACACCACCACATGGCAGAAGCTCCCTCAGTCATTTGTGGGTATAAAACATCCACGTTGCAAGCCAGTGGTAGAGTTGCTTTGCTGTTATAGAATCCGGGGAGAGATGACAAATAACAGGAAATAAGACCCCAGAACCTGCCGTGTGAAGCTCATCTGTAAAGTGGGAACTTTTAGGTCTACAAAATGGCGCACCGCTTTGTTCCCCCACCAAGATTAACTTACAAGGCATTAAATCCTACTAGACACCACTGTAAATGTATTAAATCATACACTCCTTTAAATCATGGCAATTGCAAAAGAAACTTACATTTCCAGTAGTCAATTTTTAATTCTTAGTGGCAATAATAACAGTCTTTCCTTAACCAATACTTGGTCTGCCCATAGTTTTAAGGTTTATGCTCTTAGATTTCAAAGATAAGCTATGTGATCAACATTATTGCAGTTTGCTTGATATGTATTTATTTATTTATTTTCTTATGTTTCCAGAAGATTTTACTCACTATCAACTTGTAGTTCTTGTTCCACAATGACTCTCGACCTCTCTTCGATTCCACAATCAAATGTGGAGTTCTTTTCATCTAATGAGGTGGTTTAGGAAAAAGACATTTAGTCTAGTGAACTCACATGTAAAACTCAATTGTATTTTCTCAAAGTCAAGAGGCACTTTCACACCAGATCGGTTTGTTTCACTTTCAACAGATCAGTGTTTTTCCTTTAGGAGTTGCTTCACCTTGAGAAAGCATGGCAAATGTAACCTGGCAAGGAAACCTAAATATGTAAATGTATAGTCTGGAAACAACCCATTTAGGCCTTTTCAAATACATAGTAACTTGGATTAGTGCAGATCGGGCTGGTAACCTTTTCCAAAAACAGTTTTGGATTATCTCTCCACCTTTTCTCAATTTTTGTAGTCCCTGCTCTGATGGTTACATGGGTTGAGTCGCAATTATTGGCAAAAGATTTGCAAGGGTCTGCCTGCTGCTTGCAACCATTTCTTGGTTTAGAGTCTGACAAAAGGTTATTAAAACTGAGCAGAATGTTCTACATCACCACAATTGTTGTGCTGAGTTGTGTTTATGTGCATCATACAGGTCACCTCACACTGTTTACTGATCCCCTCATGCTAACTAATTTCTGTATAAATTTTAGGGTTGGGCATCGAGCATCGATTGGAACCGGTTCCAACTGTGCATTTTTCCCGCAATTGTTCTAAGTTATTTATTTCAATTCCTAGTTTCGATTACTAGAATGCCAACAGAAGAGGAATCTGCGGCCGATCTCCATGAAAACTAAACATGATCAGCAAATTGTGATCAATTCTTTTCAGAGCTGATCACACCAGCTGTCTGTGTGCAGCACAAGTCCCCCCTCCCCCACATGGCGCGCAGTGGCCAGATATAAACAAAAGTGTCTGCCGAACTTTGACTCCGTAATGTAAACTTTAACTCCTGCAGCGTAGAGGAAACTTGTTAAAATACGTCAACACGGTGGATTTAATAGTTGCTTTAAAGAAAAAACTCTGGACGGTGTGAGGTGAGTTTGTCTCACTGCAGAAATAAAAACACACACGGAGCGTCAGCAGTCAGATGCAGCTGCTCACCAACACTGTGTGTGAGCGTGAGCATCAGAAGGCTGAACAATAACCTGTAGGTGTACCACACCAGCTTCTGCCACAATAACTATTTATAATAATAATAAATCACACACAAAGTTGTGAACATTTTAATTTCCTTTCTGAACTATTTCTGTTGAGAGTTGTAATGGCCACAAATGGTCACTTTTCAGTTATAGATTGACATATATGCCATCGGTCAGTGGCAGACAGGAAGTCTGCCTCTGTGTCCTGTTAATCATTCAAGTTGCAGAAGATTCGACATCGCCTGCTTGTTGATACCCAATAAAGTTAACAATATTATTAAATTGTGTTCAGACAAAATTTCAGCAAAAAGGCTATTCTTATGTATATTTACAGAGTAAAGGTAAGTTATAGGACAATAAAATGGCAAAAATTGCCAATAGTTGTTGATGAATTTTTTAAAACCATTATTGGAAACTATTTAAGAACCAGCCTGATTAAGCACTAGAACCACATTAGTTGAAAATACACAAATGGTAATGATTACCTGAAAATTGTTGGTCTTTGTATTCATCCATCATTTGTGATATTTTGATTTTACCTAAAAATGTAGAAGAGAAAAATTGTTTTAAAAAAATAAAACCATCAACTTGAACATCACAAAACAATGTGAACTAACTTCAGCCTTGTGCCCAACTTTCAATCATTAAGTTTCATTTTAGCCACCATTTTGTAAACTGCACTAACTACACATTACCATTAAATAAAACAAAAAATCTGTAGTTTCTTTGCTTCTGACATGTAGGCATAAATAATCCATAATGTTTTACAGCTTTTATAAGTGTTTAGTGGACAAAAGTCACACAAACTTGCCTTGCAGTGAGCTTTCCATATATCATTTTACAGCTTCAAGCCTGACCTAGACAAAATTCACATGGAGTGCAGAACTCTGCTGTCTGGGCTACTTAATTGTACAAAAGCACAAAACATTACACATCTTACCTTTTCTTTTGTACATCTACCCTCCTGTCTCTTCTGGTGAGCTTTCCTCCTCCATGAAAATGGCTCCCTGTCTGTGGTGCTGGGCTTGGGAGGAACTCGGAGGAATAGGTAGCATGACTCTGATTGGATGACTAGTTTATGGGCCCACCGCCTCTGCAGCTGTCCGGTGGGGGATGGGCAGTTAGGCAAAAGTCAGCCTTCACTGAGAACTCAGAGAATCGTGCCACAATGGAGCAGTAGGGCTGATGACTGAGGATGAGTGAAGGTCAAAGCCACCCAAACTAATCATAATAAATATTAATTCAATATTAATTTATAAAACTGTCTCTCTTTGTATATTTTTTAATTTGTATATATTTTATGTAATTTTAACTTTTAGATCAGGATGGTCAAAAGTACACATTAGTGGCCTTCAAGTGATTTTGAGCAGTCCACATTTGCATTTGTAGAATGATTTGGTCTGTCCAGAAGGCTGCTGCTGTAGACTGATACTTTCATGCATTTATATTGTAAATGTTCATCAGTGTTAAAAAAATTCAGCAGTCACAGTTAAACGAAAAATCAACATTAATCAAATCTTCATAAAAAAGGCCACATTTATGTAAAATAACAAATGTTTGAGGGCATGTTGTGGGTCACATGAGCAACGCAGGGGTTCAAAAATCTGCTTACTTCATGGTCATAGCCCTGCTTTCTAGGCAACCATGTTTGCTTTCTGATATGTGACTTAAGCCCTTTTCAGATAGACATTCTGGAACATTTGCGGACAATTCAATCCGGTTTTTAACCGGAACTGTGTTTTCAGACACACCACTTTTGTACCGGAACTTGTCCTTTCGGCTGCCTTCACACAGCAGGGAAAAGTTCCAGAAGTCTGACGGTGCGGGGGTGGGGGGGGTGGGCGGGGGGGATCGGACTCATGTTAAGAAGAAGAAGAAATCATTTCTATAGCGCCTCTCAAGATAAAAATCACGAGGCGCTTAAGCATAATTCTGCGCACATGAAGACGCATAAGAGACCTGGATAATGAAGCTCAATGGTTAAAGGAATCACTGAAGCGGTGTGAAGCGCTCCGGTGCGTGTCTAGGCGGTACCGTAGGAGGCGAGCTGCCGTGGTTCGCCGCATGCTACAGCAGCGAGCTATGTAGGTGCGCACAGCGTCCCCCGGTCCCCTCCTCCTCCCCCTCCCCCTTGTCCGGAACTTTACCTCACCAGTCTGAAGTAGCCACCCTGTCCGTAACAAGTCCGGACCTGTTACTAGGGGCTTCGTCCGGATAAATTCCGGAACACGTTATCCGGATGTTTGTATTCAGACACAAAGGTCTTACGGACAGATTCCGGAACATTTCCGTTTTTCATGGCCTGTCTGAAGGGGGCTTTATAAGTGAAAAGGCCTCCCAGAATATACTGCAGAAACGTCCCATTAATTAACATTGCCTTTTCAACTAAGTTTGAGGTCACACTGTGGGTCACATGAGCAATGCAGGGGTTCAAAAATCAGCTCACTTCTTTGAGCTCTGTGAAGCTGACCCCCGCCAGCTTCAAAAGTGCAGGCAAATAGGCTGTTCAGTTAGTGCTTCGCTTGTGCTGATTTGTGCAGGTAAAATTGACGTTTGTGCTGCTATGGTTCCTGAGATAATAAAATTTATTTTATAGGTCATTCAGAGTTCACCGTCCCCCCCGGACTGCTCCAAAATGGACCATATTAGTCTACTTTTTTAGTGCTTTGTTTGTACTGATTTGTGCAGGTAAAATTGACGTTTGTGCTGGAACGGTTTCTGAGATATTACAAGTTTTATTTTGCATGATGACATCATCAAATCAAGTCACTTTTGTGCTCTGTGTCAGTCTAAAGCAGTGTTTTTCAACCCTGGTCCTCAAGGCACACTGCCCTGCATGTTTTTGTATTCTCCCTGCCTTAACACACCTCATTCAGCTGACTGCAGTTCAGCAAAAGCTTGTAAATCAACCATCAATTTAAATCAGCTGTGCTGAAGCACGGAAAACCTGAAAACTCCCTGGACAGTGTGCTTTGAGGACCAGGGTTGAAAAACACTGGTCTAAAGTATATTTGCTTTTCAAACTCAAGCCCTTTTCAGATAGACATTCTGGAACATTTGTGGACAATTCAATCCGGTTTTTAACCGGAACTGTGTTTTCAGACACACCACTTTTGTACCGGAACTTGCCCATTCGGCTGCGTTCACACAGCAGGGAAAAGTTCCAGATGTCTGACGGCGGCGGGGGGGTGGGGGGAGAGAATCGGACTTATGTTAAGAAGAAGAAGAAGAAGAAAATATAATTTCTATAGCGCGCCTCAAGATAAAAATCACGAGGCGCTTAAGCATAATTCTGCGCACATGAAGACACATAAGAGACCTGGATGATGAAGCTCAATGGTTAAAGGAATCACTGAAGCGGTGTGAAGCGCTCCGTCGCGCGTCTAGGCGGTACCGTAGGAGGCGAGCTGCCGTGGTTCGCCGCATGCTACAGGAGCGAGCTATCTAGGTGCACACAGCGTCCCCCGGTCCCCTCCTCCTCCCCCTCCCCCTTGTCCGGAACTCTACCTCACCAGTCTGAAGCAGCCACCCTGTCCGTAACAAGTCCGGACCTGTTACTAGGGGCTTCGTCCGGTTAAATTCTGGAACACGTTATCCGGATGTTTGTATTCAGACACAAAGGTCTTACGGACAGAGTGCGGAACATTTCCGTTTTTCATGGCCTGTCTGAAGGGGGCTTCAGTCAGCTTCACCTCTATAAACATGAAGGTTATATTTTTCTTTCAATAAATTTGCCATGTTTATTGTGTCTCATTACCAAAGTCATGTTTCACTCAACTTTACAATTTTAGAGTCACTATTCCTAAGCCACAACAAAATTAAATGTATAGCTGCAAAAAAAAAAAAAAAAAAAAAAAAAAAGATTAGATTTGTGAATCTGTACTAAATATAATGTATGTAATTTATGTCCACTAAAATTATTGTCTTTTTTTGATTTTGGAAACGTGTAATATCTCAGAAACAGATGCAACACAAATGGTAATTTTATCTGCACAAATCAGTACAAACAAAGCACTAAAAAAATTGATAAATATGGTCCATTTTGGAGCAGTTTCGAGCAGTCCGGGGGGACGGTGAACTCTGAATGACCTATAAAATAAAGTTTAATATCTCAGAAACCGTTGTAGCACAAACGTCAATTTTACCTGGGTCACATGAGCAACGAAGGGGTTCAAAAATCAGCTCACTTCATGGTCATAACCCTGCCTTCTAGGCGGCCATGCTTGCTTTCTGATATGTGACTTATATGTGAAAAGGCCTCCCAGAATATACTGCAGAAACATCCCATTAATTAACATTGCCTTTTCGACTAATTTTGAGGTCACGCTGTGGGTCACATGAGCAACGCAGGGGTTCAAAAATCAGGTCACGTCATAGTCATAACCCAGCCTTCAATGCGGCCATGTTTTCTTTCTGATATGTGACTTATGGGGTAAAAGGCCTCTTGAACTGCAAATAAAAATATTGCATTTCATTTACATTGCTGTGTTGCCTAATTTTGAAGTCATGCTGGGGGTCTCATGAGTGATCTAGAGTTATAAAAATAGGGTCACTCAATTGACATAATATTTCCTTCGAAGAAGTGGTGTTTGTTTTACACACGGTACATTTACATACATTACTCCAACACACAAAGGCGTCCTAAAGTGCACTTAAAAAACCTGATATTCATTTACATAGCCTTTTTCATTTACTTTTTGGTCAGGCTGTGTTTCATAGGAGGGATGTAGAGGGCTGGAATTAGTCAGTTCATCTTCATAAATAGGGAGCCTAAGTCTCCTCACTTTCCGGTCGGCTCATGGTTCCAAGGAAGAACGAAAAAAATAAATGCAAGTCATTGGGGCTAAAAGCGCTGTTTTCTAATTCCGCTTGTTGTGTGCCATGGATTTCACATATGCTGTCCGTGAGTTTTAAAGACACATTTCGATACCAAGAATGCACTTTTTTTTAAGGGGAAACGTTATTTTAGGATTTGTGTGAAAATAAGCCCAGAAATACAGATGTGTGTCACGAAAATGACGTCATCGACAATGACACACAGAAAAACGGAGGGAAATGGCTGTAGGTTCAGCGAACTTCAAATCCTTCCTTCAGGCGGAGAAAAGCACAATAAATCTGGCCATTTGGTAAGTACCAGCTACGCTACAGGAGAAAAGATTATGTGTTGATGTCATATATGCGACATGCCAATGTCGGATTTGTAGTCATGCTAATTATGAACATTTACAAACTGATAAATCTCGAAGTACGTGGCAAGCATGGTCAAAACACCCATCATTAGTTTTAATTAAATTTGCAGTACAACCTTTGTGTGATCCAGGGCCTAAGGCAAAGCGGATTAGAAAATAGAATTTTTAGCCCATAGACTTGCATAAATTTTTTCTTTCTTCCGGGGACCCATGAGCCAGAAGTAGATGGGCGTGACTTTGCCTCCCCATACATCTCATAGATGATACTGTTTGCATTCTGATACGTCACTGGTAAGCAAAAGTGCCCCCCAAAATACTGGATAAATATTTTTCGTAGCATTTTTCACTAATTTTGAGGTCATACTGTTCCGTACAGGAGGGCTGTTTGCATTCAAATACTTAATTCTAACAAAAAAAGGACCCCAAAATGTACTGCTCCTCCTTTTACCTTTTATTTTCCACAATTTTAGAGGTCATGCTGTGGGTACTAGGAGTGGAGCCGTGCATAAGCAGTGTTCTACAGGTCAGAACATTTGTTTGTGAAACAGTTTTTTTTTTTTTGCTGAGCTTAAGTAGGGTTATATTAAGGACTGGATGCATAGTTTTTTAAAAGATTTCCCAGATCATCTATTTATCACATAATACCAAGAGTTTGCTGTTTAAAGATATATAAAACACAACCTGTTTCAGTGTCATTTAGACTTGCATGTTCTGTCCATTTATTGTTTCTCCCTCCGCCACAGTCTCATTTGATAGGGTATATGGATTAAAGACTAACAATATAAACAAGCAGCTGGTCCACTTCAACGTGTCCATGATGTGTGGCTTCTCCTCTTGACGTTGTTGCAT